AAAGCAATTGTGGGCTGGTTTTTTATATTATTGTCTTCAAATTTTAATTATTTATTTATTGCATGCCCATCATCATGACTATGACTGACCCTTTGGCCCCAAAATGAATAAAGTTTTTGCGGTTTTTCCCGGATTTTGAAAAGTACGAACGTCGCACTTCAGTTGGCGCTAAGCCATTCAACTGTAGATATGTATTTATAGTAGTACGTGTGTGCAGGTATTTGCATTTTTTCGCATCTCTTAAAAGAAAGTCAAGCATTCGGCGACGGCTCGGTTGAATGACATAACTCTCCCAGAGAGAGACAAACGCGACGCTCGACTTAATGTGACGGCTGGCGCGCCTGCGCTTTCAAAACACTTTCATTGCCAAGTTGCTGTCGCTGTTGTAGTTATTGTTGTTGTAGTTGTTTATTTGTTAGCTCGCTTGGAAAATCCATAGCTTTAATTGTGCTAAATTGTGTGCCGCACATGGCCTTACACACACATTTCATTTGGCATGCCTTTTTTGTTGTTTGTTGTTGCCTTTGTCGGTTTTAAATATTGTATTCACTGCCTGGCGTTTTTAAGTTTGATGCCACTCGGGTTTTTCACTCAATTTCCACATTACAATTTACGCAATAGAGACAAAGGCAACAAAGGCAATTAGAAGTCGTAGTCTTAAAAAATAAAAGCATATATAATAGCAATTATTTGCACAGCTGCAGATGTTGAAAAAAACCTTTGGATTTAATGCGTCTATTGGCTATCGTTTAATAAGTACTAGGTTATTCCCCTTAATGGTGGCCCAAAGATGAAAAAAATTTAAATTTACTTGAATTGGACATTTTTCTTGGTAACAAAAGTATAAGCGACAGTCCGAAATCGCTATAAGCCTTAAGCGTAGTTTTGCGGTTTTGCGGCGAGGCATGCCCCAACAGCAGTGACGCATTCTCAAATACTTAAAGCCATCGAATATGAATGGGGTTCAATAAGTTCTTTTATGTCTTAGAAATTGCTTTACTCATAAATTCAAAAGTGTTAACATATGTGTCTGTACAATGTATTTATCGTACTTATTTACATATATTTTTCATTATGTTTCAATGAACTTACAAATTGTCGCTCATTGAAGGCCAGAGTTCAGGCAATGAACTGAGCTGAGCTGTGAATTTTAGAAATACCAAAAGGTGTACATGCTTTTAAACAATGTGTACAATTAATTGAAATTAAACAGCAAGAGGAGGGGCGAAAAGTGGCAATAAGCCATCTTAATATTTGAGTTGTCAATAAATTTGTTGACTTTGCGACTTTTTCAAGTGCTTTCAACTGTGGGTTTTTTCTTCTTTTTTTTAAATAAATTGTTTCTGTTTCGCATTCAAGCTGTTATCTCTGCTAATAGGTATACAATGGGAACTTAGATAATATAAATAAGCAAATTCCCTATACCGTTTCAATATAAATCTTTGACCTTTTAAGGTTTAGTATTGACTTTGAATCAAGTTTATCTGAGACTAACGATATGCCAAATATATACTTCTTGAACCATTAAAAGCAAACTCCGATCGTAAAAAGTCTATTAATATCCACCATACAATGTACATAAGTAAATTCTGCAGTAAGATTCAAACTTCTGAAATAAATTGGTAACTTTTTAATGATATAGTGTATAACGACGTCGAAAGTGCTTGTTTAAAAGCGTTTATCTTCCTTCTCTTTTTTTTCAATTAGAAAATATAACATATTACTTATTGGATAAAAATGTCCAATTACGTTTTCATGAATATGCAAACAATTCAAATATAATTGTGGTTATAGCATTCAATGATCATCATAATAACCAAACTGTACAAGGGCTTTACATATTTAATTTGGACAATAATCTAGAATAACTGAAAATTAGGCAAAATGAATTCTTTGGCGTGGCTTAATAATACGCAATTTTAAGCGATTTCATAACGGATACTAATTGCCCGAATTAAAAAATTCATATCGAGTTAACTCGCAAATCAAGTTGAGGTCCAAAAATCGAAATTCAAGTTTAACTACTTATTATTATTATTATGATATTTTTTGTTTGTTACTTGAGAAGTGTCAAGTTTTGCGCTTTTTGTACTCGCCAAACAGAGCCAGACGTGTTGGCTGGGTGGCTGGCTAAGTGACTTGGCTAACTGCCAGCACGACGGCGACTCGATTTAAAATCATAAGCGCGTGACGCAGCATCTGGGAATTCCCAAACAAAACGGCAGAGAGTTAAGCTTACTTGCAAGCAACCCAGCAAGCAAACAAACAATTCAAGCAAACAGCGAGTCGACTCGGAAAGCAAGCAAATACGATTATGTGTTAACTCTGTATTTAATATTTTTTCTATAGCCTATAGCCTGTGCTTTATTAAACAAATATATGTATGCTAGCCTTTAATCGTATGCTAACGATCGACACGTTGCTACGCCAAATATTTTTTTTTTCACATTTTTTTATTCAAAGGCACCAACAACAATAGCTCCGAGTTTTGTCTCGACTTTCAACTATGGTATAAAACTTTATAATATATCTCTCTGACCAGCTGTTTTGTTGGTGCTACTACGCTCCGTTTGGAACGGAGATCATTGGAGATGTTGTCATCAGTTATATATAAATCGTGTGACACAATTATTGTTTTTGTAAATTGTACAAAGATAGAGAGAGAGAGGAAGGTAGAATGGGAGAAGAGAGACTAACGGATAAGCTTACTAAATTCTGGTTGCCATGTATATTTGCCCTGCCAGCAATATATTTTAGATGTAAAAGTTATATTATCTTGAGGAGATGCTTTTCTTAACCTTTTGTACACAATTGCTTGGTAAAATATAATTTCTAATAGCAATTAACTGAATGATCTTGAGCTACTTAACAAGAAGTTTATCTAAATTTGGGACTTAAATTTAGCGAAAATTAATTTGTAAGTTAACCAGTTTTTACATTAGATGTGTTAAGGCTACTTTAGCAGATTATCATTGATCATAGATACACTGAGTCAAGTTTCTTTCACAGCGGTATTTAAATGAATTCAAGTGTGAAAAATTTATATTTAATTGCTAGTAATTATAGCTGATTTAAGAAAGAGAGGTGAAAACCACATACAAACAACATAAATCGCAAGAAAATACCCACATTACTCCTCCCACATTGATTTATTATGATCATAAGTTGCTATAAAACCTTCCATTAATTGAAATATTGTTGGATAATTAAAATGCGATCATATGAGCTGTACTTGTATAATGCAAGCCATAAACACTTCCAATAAGTATTTGCGCAATAAACACGTAAATCACTGTTCTCAAGTAGTTGGCAACGCATGCACACTAATTAGTTGGCAACACTGCATCTTCCTCATTCACAATGAAGAAGTGATTCGCTTCTATACGCCTGCGTGCCAAATATAACGGCAAAAGACAATGTGCTGATGAGGTAAAAATAATTGTCAGCTTATTTTAACCGTCTTTAAAATTGCGACGGAAATCCCGCACGCATACATGCACGCCATAATAGTTTGTGAGTGTATGCGTGTTTAAAAGCTAATCAACAGCACGTGTAGCCAGCGAGCAACAAACCCCAATAAAGGCAATGGGATTTTGCTTTTGACAACGTCGAAGTAAAAAATACTCTAAATAAAGTCAGTACAATTTACTGCAAACAAATGTCAAATGTTCGAACTTTTAAACGAACTTAAAATAACTTCAGTTTTTGCTGTCTTATGTGGGAAAAAACCTAATTAGAAAAGTGAGAGCCGAATCCGACATTATCATCTCAAATGCGTTGCAATCTTAAGACCAAGCTTGTATCTCTTCACCTTTTTTATAGAGCATTTAGAACTACGCCAACCTATTATACAAAAATCAATCTGAGTGTTAAAAATGATAGGAAAAAAACTAAACAAGCTTCGCTTTTATGTCGTTAATCTGTATGCATAGCTAACAGCGATAATGTCGGCTCCTCAATCTCAATGAAAGAGTTGCTTTATTTATGTGTACATATGTATGTATATATTCAAAGCAAAGTAGAAACAAAAGGAGAGAAAAAAAAAAAAAACTGCGTACATGCGCTTCAAATGTCAGTTGAATTGCAATTTATGTAGTTGTTCTTGTGTTTGTTGTATTAGTTGGAACGTTTGCCGACTTTGGTGGTATATTAAAAGAGATATCGTATTTCAAACATCTGCCTGCCTACGTGCGATGTTAATATTAGCAAAAATCGTTGAACTGATCAAAAAACGAAATCAAATTAAAGCCAAACTAACAAAGCTAAAGCCAGCTTGTTTGGTTTCTTAACTTCGTTGTTGCTCTTTGCGTGTGTGTGTGTATTGCTTTTGTTGTTCCCGTTGCTGGCACTGCTGGTTTTTTTTTTTTGTTTTTTGCTCTTGTTGTAGCTGTTATTGCTGCTGTTTTATTGTGGGAATTTCTTGGGTTTTTCAACGCACACACCAAGGCGCACACACAAAGTAAGCAGTCAGTCAGTCGTTCACTTACATGCATTCACACACACATACAAAGCTAAAATCAACACCGTTGTCTTATTTAGCAAAGAGAGCTCCCCACAATCGCGTAACCCATCAAGCTTTGTGTTCATATAAAAAGAAAAGAAGAGAGCAAATGCTACTTGCTTTGCAACAATAACAACAATACACAGTTGAAAGCTTTCTGAGATTGTTGCAGCTTTTTTTGTGCAGGCTTTGAAAAATTTCATTCATAAATCCGAAGCTTGTGGTTTCATGCATTGTGGCTTCATTTAAAGAACAATTGATTGAAAGTTATTGAATTGTTATACTGTAGTGTTAAAAAATGAAGCTATTAAATATAAATGAAAAAATTTATGGGAAGAAGACTTGCAAAATGATTGGTAAAGATCAAAAATGATATTTGAAAAAAATTGCACACAATCACAATTATTCCAAAAAAAATTAAATATTTTGCACTTATTATCATTCTGGATATGTTTCATATATTTGTACTTATCATATTCTTCCTCTAATATCTTTGCAGGGGAGCGATGCGTACACTTGGCCGCCCAATCTGGTAATATTGAAATCTTACGCACTTTGGTATCACATGGAGCTGATATCAATGCGAGGGTAAGTGACTTGGAATGGAAACAACCTTTTATGTAATGATTACTTATATAACATTAATTGCTTTTACAGGAGGGAAAATCAGGACGCACTCCCCTACACATTGCCATCGAGGCCTGCAACGAGGATTTGGCCAATTTCCTGCTCGATGAATGTGAGAAATTGAATTTGGAAACAGCCACATATGCCGGCCTTACGGCCTATCAAGTGGCATGCATACTTAACAAATCGAGTATGCAAAATAAGCTGGAGGAGAAGGGCGCCGAAACATTTGCACCGCCCGATAGTGATTATGACAGTAGCGATTATGAAGATCTAGACGATTCGAAGGTGAGCGTCACAGCATAGAGTATACATACGACAACTTGTATGCCACATAAATATAGTGCATAGAAATGTAAGCTAAGGTGGCGAATCGCATTGCCAGTCGGGTCGTCGCTATCGTCATTGCCACGAGCTTCCAAACCAAGAGCTGAACTGGTATTCAGTTTTCAAACTAGCAAAAGAAGATCAGCTAAAAAAGCATATTAAAACATTTGTAAGGGCAGCTAATGTATTTTTTATATATTGTTAACAACCAAAAATAAGCAAACAAAATCTACAAAATAATCGATGAAAGTAAAAGTAGTGTGAACAGCAAATCAAAGTCAATGATTGGTCTAGAAATCAGTAGGAGACCAATTCATTAAACACATATAAAGTAGTAAAAGAGTTCTATGTTTTAGTAGAACCGACACTAAATGCAAAGTAAAAACCAACCAACAAATTTACGAACAAAATGCAATACCAACCAGCCACCTTTACAGAAAACTGTGTCCTATAAACATACATCCAAGTTCATACAATTTATTTATTAGCGTTACTTTCCCATCAAAATTATTGTCCATCTCTGCCACTTCTAAATGCTGTTTGTAACTCAACTCTGAAATGAAAAGCTATTGTACTCTAAGCTCTCTATAGTAATCTTATGTCTAAATATAACTCTCTACTTGTATCTGTATCTGTATGTTTGTGTGACTGTCTGCGTGTTTGAGGCAACTAACTATATTAGCATATTTGTATGATTATCATTATCTCTAACTACTAAATTAAAAATGTTGAAAAATATTGAAACCTTTAGCGCTTAAGTTAGTTAAATATCCTAATTGATGTCGTTTCGCCGGCATATGTGTACTCTTATTTATATACTAATACATTAAACAAATTATCAACAGGCGATGAAGAGAGAAACAAACACAAAAAACTAGAATAAAAATGCCGTTATTTAAACAAGATATTTGTCTGACTGAATGAATTATATTACAAATAAAAACAATTTATTCGAAACAAAAAACAACAACAAATTTCAATTCGATTTCCAAAATTTTTGTTGACTGTTTAAAGTCAAATGAGGCCGAGGTATGTAAATAAATGTCTTTAGTTATGTATTTTTGTTTATTTGTTTATGTTATTGCATAGCTTAATCGAATATATCGTTGGTTTTTATTTTGCATTAACTATTATTTCACTCTTAGTTTTAAAACTTACAGCGCACTTACTTAAAAGTGGTCTTTGTTTTTTCGCCCTTTAATTCTTTAAACATTTTTCATTTAAGCTTCTAATCGTACATACATATATTATTAGAATCCCTTTTCATTGAAAACTATTTTTAATGCTGCCGAACATGTTTAACAACATGCACAGTGCTGCGTTTTCACAAATTCAAAACAGCGGTGTTGAGCTGATAAATCGCGCTTCGGAATGTTGCATTCCTTCCAACTAAACTGAAATCGAACTTTTTATATGTGCATGCTATTTCCAGCGAAATGCAACACTGATTCATTGAAACATGTTTAATTAAAAACATTATTATTTATAGAAGACACTATGCTTTTAATTGAATTGTTCATAGTTTATTAACTAATTGATTAACTTTGATAAAAATTTGTCATTGCAGCTGTACCGCCGCTTTAATTGCTTTGTCAGCAATCCCATGCCATGCGCTTGAATGCAACGCGTACTCTTCAACTGTACATACAACACATTGCACTAAAATATATAAAATATATTCCAGCAGCAAGAACACCCAACTAGCAAATAGATTCCGATTGCTGTTAGATGGATATTGATGCCTTGACACACACGTTCCATAGACGATTTCGAGAGAGAAAGGAAAACGGCGCAACGATTATCAAATCAAATGTACTTACACGAACGATAAATGATAGATAAAACTAACTGATGTATCCTGATAATGTTGTGTAACCTTAAGCCAATCTAAGCTAATGTATTTAAAAGAGAAACCCCAACAAATAAAGTTGCAGCAAAGCAATTATATATTTTATTTGTTAAAATAAATTACACTAAAGAACATTTATATCGTCTGGCACAAACATTAAATTTAAACAGGAGTCAATAATAATAATACATCGTGCTTAGAAAAACATAAACATTACAATTATCGTCTAACGTAGCTAACAAGGCTTTTACCTAGTGCATTTTTAATTTTAAACTTAATACAATACAAAATTCAATTTAGTGAGTCTTATTGAATGAATAGAACCCTAACGTATGCTCTGACGGAACACACTCTGCTTGGCCTTGCTGTTAACGCTGGCCACCTTCTTGGCCGCCAAAGGATCGGGCGCAAAACAATTCCACAAGCGCAGAGTTTCGTCCGCACCAGCGCTGATGACGGTGCTGCCGTCCGGGGACATGGCCATTTGCAGGACACGTGAGGTGTGTCCAGTCAAATCCGATTGCTTAACCATTGAGGGATACTTCCAGATGGTGAGCTGATTATTGGCAAAACCGTGTGCTGAAATCAGCTCCTTGTAGTTACGTGAGAAGAGCAATGCGCAAACCTGCGACTTCGAGTCCACACTCTTGATCAGGGAGCCATTGCAAACGTTCCAGAATTTGATGCAACGATCTGCAGTGCCTCCACCCGAGGCCAAGACGTTCGGTTGCCAAGGACACCAGGCTAAGGCGCGCACAGCCGCCTGATGTTCGGTGAATTTGTGCAATGGTTCCGTAGCTGTACCCACACCATTGCTAGCTAAGGACCAGACATTAACTAAATTGTCATTTCCACCGCTGGCCAAGTATTTGAAATCGGTAGACCACTTCAGACCGCATACCTCCTGCGTATGACCAGCCAGCGAGGAAACTTTATGCTCTCGCGAGCGCACATCATGATGTATGATGGTGCCATCACGACTGCCCGAGGATACCAAAAATGAGTTCCAGGCCAGCGACCCAACACGTGCACTGTGGCCGTCCATGACACGCAGACGCTTCACCTTGGAGCAATCCCACAGCTCAACGGCGCCAGTACTATTGCCAATAGCTAATATTTGACCATCCTGTATCCAGGAGAGCGAGCAGGCGTAATCGCCCTCCTCATACTCGGTAAGCTGTTCAATGTTGCCGCTGCCAGCATTCCACAAATAGACGCAGCTGCCCAAAGCCACTGACACAATATTATCCGCGCTCCAGTCCATGAGATTGAGATCTAAAAAAGGAATAGTATTTCAGCGATATAGTTGGAAAATTACCATTTCCTAGGTGTGCTTACAGTAATCGTTGACAAAGTCTGGGGCATCCAGAATGCGCTCCGAGGTTGTGGGTATGTAGCGGGTGCCGCTTTTGGTTGAAATAGGTGTTTTTATAGAGTACACAACCTTCAGTGGATTTGTGTGCGATTCTGGCGCTGCTGGTGCTTTGTTTTGGTAGCACAATATGCGCGAACCTTTGCTGTCGCCTACCTGCGCTGCATCCGCAATCAACTTCTGACGCTCGCTCTTGTGAGCCGATGCCTGCACATTGTTCACATTGTTATCGCCGTTTTTGGGCTGTCCGTTCTCCTCGTCGGAGTTCTCGCCTGCCTCTTTCTTGACCTGCATCAGCCGACAGATATGGACAGGTATAAAATTGGTTATAGCCTGCAAGGACAACGCTTACCAAGAAATGCGCCAAATCGAAATTGGTGGCAGCGCGATTTGGTATAAAACGATCTCCGCCGCCTGGCGTCTTGCTGGGCGTTGTTGCAGACTTCTTTTTGGCATCGCTACTGCTCTTGCCCGGAGTTTTAGTGGGTGGTTGCACGCCAGAGAAACTAGTGTTATAGGATACCGAAAGCACCGAGCGCGTTGTGTTTGCGCTGCCATTTAAGGACGCTTCTAACTTCTTCTTCCATCGAGGAGCAGGCCCGCGTGTCTCACCATCCATAATCAAGGCATTTTGTAAGTCGCTCACAAAATTAAATTGGGACATTTTTCACTTTCAGACTGCTCCGATTTCAAACAATATTTTAATTAAGTATGTTCATATAATCAGCCACACAATATCAAGTTCCGTTGCTTTCGCATGCAAAAAATGCAATGGCGGTTGGGATACGACAAAATACAAAAAATCGCGCCGCAAAGACGCTACTAGGGCTGCATACGCAATAAGTGGTCGAATACGTTCAAGCATGCTTACCACAACGGAAACATATGTGTGGCAACTCTACTAAAAATTAATTAAATTAAAGTTTCAATACTAACGAAATTCGGATAACGATGATGCAATGGAAACAAAACATCTTATTTATAGAAATAAAATAAGTTGAGTGCGTTTTACTAAGCCCATCATGACCTCATGACTTCTTCATATATATAATGCAGCCCTGGACCTCAGCTGTCAATTCGCCCTTATATATGTATATGTATGTATGTAAGTAGCTTACGGCCAGTGTTAACTTTGGCAAATTTATTTAGTTTCTCTAACGATTGAAATTTTACGTTAAATAGCCCCAATTTGTTGCTTATTTTACACAACAACACACAAACGTGCCACCAATTCTCACAGCGCGCTATAGGTATCGACGAAAATGGCCTTTAACTTTACCGCCTTCACGTATATTGTAGCCCTCATAGGAGATGCTTTCCTAATTTTTTTTTCAATATTTCATGTCATTGCATTCGATGAATTGAAAACAGATTACAAGAACCCTATAGACCAGTGCAATAGCCTAAATCCGGTAAGTTAAACAACATTTAAAATGAACTTATCTAATGTATTGTTTTATATCGTATATACATACATATGTAGCTCGTGTTGCCGGAATATTTACTGCACATATTTCTTAATGTATTATTCCTATTTTGCGGTGAATGGTTTAGTTTGTTCATAAATATACCACTCATAGCCTATCACATATGGCGGTAAGACACTAAACACTTCATATAAACGGACCTCAGTTAAATAGTAATATTTCGCACAGCTACAAAAACCGCCCCATTATGTCCGGGCCGGGACTCTATGATCCTACTACGGTGTTAAAAACGGATACATTGGCCCGCAATATGCGCGAAGGTTGGATTAAGCTGGCCGTCTACCTCATTAGCTTCTTCTACTACATCTACGGGTAATTATAATGATCTAAGACTAACCTTTTTTTTATATATATATATTTTTATATATTTATTGTTTGGCTAATTTTAGAATGGTTTATTCGCTAATTTCAACATAGAGGCCAAAGGCAGCTGCCTGGGGATCTCAAATTGTTGACGCCAGCGCACCCATTTCTGATAAGTTGTTTTAGAGGACCAATCGGGTCGTGGAAGATTGCCTATAAAAATTGCGAACAATATTTCATTTGTAAATTTAATGTTAAATCATGCAATATCAAGCCATAAGGTTTTATTATTTTTATTATTTTTTGTAGTTTCCCATTGAATGTGGGGAATAAAACCGAACAACTATACGAAAATTAACGATAGTGATCTTAAATTATCTAAACCTTAAGTATATTAAAAATTGCCAATCAGAAATTTTTAATCAAAGTTGGCAAAATTCCACGTTCTTTTGTCACAGTTAAATATTTCTAAAGTACTTGCATTTGGTGTAGTCGGATTATGAAGTAAAATCATATTTAATTAGAAACTAAATGAATTTCAATTTTCTTATCATATACACGTAAAGACTATCAACATTATGATAATGAATATGCCCAGTCGACCCTGAAGATAAAATTCTCTTTTTATGTGTTTATTATTACAAGTTTATTTTACAAACATTTTTTGTTGTTGGATTTTGGAGGCCACCGCTTGGAATAAACAATATAATGGATATATACCCAATTTTGCGCTTCTCAATTCAAATTCAGTTAAATTAAAAGTGTCGGGCATAATAATTTATATCATGGTACAATATGATTAGCGTTAATTATGACATAAAAACAACAAAGAATAGGAAGAAGAATATCAAAACACCAAAAATCTTTATCATGAGCCAACGGTTCTTCGAGACGGACTGAAAATACTTTAGTATCTCAGTATGTGCCGCCTCAATATTAAGCTCAGCATCTGCGACATTTGTATCAATGCGTTCGACAATCTCCTCCTGCTCCTTTACCATGTGCGCCAACTGCTGGAAAATGCCGCCCAATTCCACAATTGTCGATTCAATGTTTTGCATAGTTTCGGCACGTTGTTGCACATAGTTATCGGATTCGTCATAGATAGCCATCTGTTGTTGTTGCTGGAGTCGAGCTGGTGGTCCTAGCAGTGGGGTTGTATCACTTGTGTCGGCACCCATGTCTATACTGACAGCCTGATTCGCTTCGCTGAGAAGTAATGAGCCCTGTTTGGCGGTCGAAGGCGACATGGTGTGGGCAGCCAAGGGGCTGGGACCTTGACTGAACTGATCACGTCGCGTTTTCTGTTGCTTGAGATTTTCGGTGCGTACTTCAAGTATCTGTTTAAAATCTGTGCTCATGCTGGCCAATTTGGATTGGAGGGCCAATACCATATTGGAGGAATGTGACATCAGATGTTTGCCACTTGCAGTGCGTCGCTGGTCCTTCGAAATGTCTTGTAGTCTGGCAATTTGTTGATTTAGCGCATTCAGATCACCCTTGATGATATACGTGAGTTCCTGTATTTCTTGGGGTCTATCATCGAAGAGACTTTTCTTTTTGGCCACTGCAAAAAGGTTAATTTGTAATTATGTAAAGAGCTGTCAGAAAGCAATTCCTAGTACTTACACATGGTTAACTTTTCCAATTTGGCATATGTGCTCGCTATATTCTTGCCTATATAGCGAGCCATATTCATAAACTCAGAATAGCTCTGCACCTGCTTCGCTTTCCGGGGATCGCGAATGTTGACTGCTCTTGTGATGTTCCTGGATTGCAGCGAGCGTATCGCGTTGGCAAACTCATTCGTACGATCACGTGCGGCCATTATGAAGATTTCCTGCTCTGGCTCCAAGTCAAGTTCCTCACGTATTGGTTGTTGTTGTTGTTGCAAGGAATTGTAGTAGTCGTAATTGTTGTTGTCGCTGCTCTGTGTCGGATGGTTGCCGGTAACAACGGCAGCAGCTGCACTCAATGGCTGCTGTATGAATGTGCGCAGTGCTTGTCCGGAACTAGCCTGCAATTTTGTCGAGAAACTGCGCAAATTCCACTGGCGCGCTGCCTTGCCGTATTTATCGTCAACGTCCGCGACACCCTGAGCGCCGATTTGGATGGCAGCTTCTGGCGACGGTTTTGGCTGCTGATCCTGTGCTGTAGCTCCACCAGCTGAATAGAACAACGGCTGATGCTGTGGCTGCTGCTCACCTGGCTGGATTAGGGTATAGCTTAATCCTGTTGATCCACCTTGCTGGTCTGACACGCCCCCGTTCTGGTAATTGGTGCTGTTGTAATCCTGCTGGTCCGTCTGATGGTAACGGCGTCGAGTTTGCATCTCATTTCAAGTCACAGGCAAGCTCTTCTTTCTCAATATCTACTGTTTCTGCTCCAATTGGACTTTGCGTTGACGTTGCCTCTTTTTGCATTCGTCATGCACTGGAATTCTCTACAATTCGCTTGTTGTGGCGATCTGGCGAATGATTCTCTCTTGTGGAATACTGTTTACCTTAGTTCGTTAGGTTTGCACTTGCAGGCATTAGATTTATGTGTGTTGTAGTTGATTTATTAATAATTTTGTTTAAACATTTTGCTATAAATTTATGATTTAATTAAATGTTGTAAAATGATGTACGCATAAAAACCTTACACACATACATATATCTATGCACACGCACACAAGCGAACAGATGACAGTTCCAGATGACGTGTGATAGCAAACAGAGTTGCCAGCGCTAGAATATAGTGATCAAATTTTACGATAATTAATGTAATTAATATGTAAACCGCATCAAAGAGATTACCTAAACTGTTCAGAACCAAAAATAATTCGATTTAGCAAGCATCAATTGTTTTGTTTCTCTGAATTATTGTTTGAATGATATTCGTAATAGCTAGTTGGCAGCACTGCCGGCTGCAAGTGTCACTTTTTTCCCTTCCCTTGTCATTTTTAAGCGATTCTCGCGTGCCAATTGTACAACAATTTGATGTAATTTTATTAACAGAAAACTAGTAAAACGTTTGAGAAAATGACGTTGTATCATTTTGGAAATTGTGTTGCGCTCGTCTACGTGCCATACTACTTCACATACAAGTACTCTGGACTGTAAGTTGCTACCTTCACTCACGGCCATTAGTTGTGTTTTATTTTCCCTAATTAATCAATAAACTATTAAATATTCAGGTCAGAATATGGCGCATTTTACAAGTGCATACATTCAGGCGCAATATACATATTCACGCAACTCTGCAAAATGTTAGTTTTGGCTACATTTTTCTATTCCGACACGGCAAATGGGGGCGGTGATTTTAACTTTTTTTCGGTATGTAATGGGGTGGGGGAACAGAAGGTACAGGTGGTACCTATATCTAAACTGTACATGAACTTATTGCAGGAGATACTACGCTGCAGTGTGGATGTGGCTGATCTGCTGGGATTCGCGTTAATTCTAAGTCGCATTCCCGGCAAGGGTCACTCAAAGCTCATCACCGCTGGATTGGGATGGGCTACGGCGGAGGTGATCTTGTCACGCGGTATTATGCTGTGGGTGGGTGCGCGCGGCACTGAATTCAGTTGGATCTACATACTCAAGTGTCTGGATAGTAATGTACTGCTCATACAACACATTACAACAGCCACACTTATTTGGCTCTTCACCCGCCACGACCTCAACAAGGCATACAAACCTATAGTAACTCTACTGCTGGTAGTTACTATATTCAAGGGTGTCTGGCTCGACGGATTGCTACATGTGCTAGCCATTGGACCGTGGTCAACGATTGCCATTAAAGCGCTAGTGGCTGCCATCATTGGATTCTGTTCGCTACATATTTATACTGGATTGGCTCAACAGATTGGCATTTAATTTTAAAGACTTGTTTTTTATTTTGATTCAGGTTCTGCTTTAGTTATGTGAAGTATTTAATAGCAAAAACAGTAATGACGGTTTAGGAAATTACAAAAATGTTAAAGTATAGTAATCATGTAACTATAACGTAAGAGTAATGAACAGTGTTTTTAAAAAATTTTAAATGTAGAGTTGAAATTTGTGTGGAAATTTAAAAGTAACTTCAAATTTATGTTACGAAATATTTAAATTGGCTAAAAATAGTTGATTTATCGCAATAGAAGCAACTCCCATTGTTATGGTATCTACTTCAATGGAGTTGGGTTTTTTCGAAATCGAGATATAACAATCATTTAAGAGATCTGCGATTAAAGACAATCAGTTTAGGAATAAAATAAACAAATGTATGTTATGTTAAAGAGTTGTGCATATTAGTTCAATTAGGCGTATAAAATCCTTTATAAAATGGTGGAATATTTGTGATAAAAATAATTAATCTTATAAAAACAAGTACAAGCTCAATTTGATTTTGTTAAAATATTTTTTATAATTTTGACAAATTATTCTGAACTGAATGCACAGCTCTAATAATGACTACCGCCTACCCAACAAGTGTCGAAAAACCAATGCTGCAGCAGTGCGACTTGGATATGATTTAAGAAACTTCTTGACATCAATTTCGTCGCTATTCGGTTGATTGTGCCACTTGTGTAGTAAATCCGACATAACGGTGAAAGTACTGCAGCTGAATTTTTCTGGTATTTCAGTAGTTGGTATTGTTTTGTCAATTTCATTATTATTGTTGTTGAAGTCGGTAGAGTCAACTGGCAGATTGTCTAGCATGTGAGTAGTAGTTAATATATCATCCACAGCACTCATGGGCTCAACAACAGCATGTGAACTTTTGCCCAATATTCCATTAGCCATTTCATCCGTATATTCAATGCCGAAAATAACTCGCAATGTTTCAATATTATGTTGGTTCTGCTTCTCGATGCTCAGCTTAGGACGTAGTTTGGCAACTCCTGGAAAAAACCGACTAAGGAATAGTCCTAGATGAGTACATTTAAAAACAAGAGAGAATTCTACAGTCTAGCAAGCTCACAGTATATACATATAATTTGTGCGGACTATCATGCCTCCTTCTGTGTGTTGCATTCGCACCAAACTTATATACTCTTTGGGTATAGGATATAATAAGCATAGTTTATTCTCTACTCACTTGTTTTTAAAATTGCTGAGCAGGTCTTTGGCCTTTAGTTTCGGTTTAACAATGGATATTACTGGATCTTGTTGATTTAACATTGCTATGTATTGCATTTGATTCTCAAAGAACGTTTTACGTGTCAATTTTTTGCGTTCATCAATGCAACCCAGCTTGGATTTGGTTTTGCGCTGCCGTTTGTTTTTTATAGTCCTCAAAACATCACGTAGCGGACCCGGTTCCTGCAGTGATTCAGGTAAGTGCGACGCGTTAATATCATTGCGTGCTATTTCCATTTTAATGTCGGGATCAAAAATATTAGTTTTCAGTGGATCAAGGAATTGTACGAATTGTTCTGGTATTGGCGATGGGACTGCCACATTGTGTCCTATTTCCATTTTAATATCGAGATTAAAATTAATAGGACAGGTTGGTCCTGCAGTTACATCGAGTTCCGATTCATTTACACTCAATTTGGGAATTTTATTTACCAAATCGCCCATTGAGCTTACTTCAGTCGATTTACGCTTAGCTAAAGCAGTTTTTTTTTTAATATGGTGGAATAATGTGTAATATTCAGCCTTACATGGGATGGTGGGAAAAGATCGAGGAAACAAGTCCAAAAAATATGACAAATCTGGTGCCTCTGAATCGCTTTCACCAAATCCATTTAAATCGAGATTCTCAATTATCTCTTCAGTGTAGGTTTCAATTGTGATATTGCGGATATTCTGTGACATTTCATTTCCCAGACGTGGCAGTTCAATGGTCTACAATACATGTTAATTACTATTAGAGATCATAAATACTTATCCAACTAAAAAGTCCTTTACTGATCACCTCTTCAACGATATCATCTCCATCGCAGCTGTGTAAAAGCTCAGATTCATCCAGCAGTTCCCTGTAAAACTTATTATTTTTCTCTATGAGGAACTCCTCAGTCCTAGGGCGTTTGCTTAGGGTCATTGTGGTGGTCTTCTTTGTTACGACGGATTTGCGTTTGCGTCGTACTACTGTTATAGATGACTTGTGAGTTGCAGGCATTGCATTGAAACGAGTGCCTTTTATCTCATCAAGCAAGCGCTCTGTGTCGTCCATTAATATAGATAGGCGTTCATTATAAATTTTTGTTACTCCCAAAGTCAAGCGCGCTATATCCTTAAATGCAACCGCATTATTATCGCTCGAAGGACTTTTGATTAAGTGAAATATTTCGTTGCTATTGATATTCGGAGGTGTGTAAAATGTATGCAAAATATATGTATGTATATAAAACGATGGTCATTTACCAAGTGGCCGCGATATCAAAGTTCTCAATTTGTTGCCGATGCAATAATTTAGAGATTTGTGATCTCTTAAAATTGTTTTGACCTACAATCCAGCAAGGCTGCAGCGAATTGTCCTGCATTTTAAAGTCAATACGCTGCAGCGCCATTTTTGTGATAAAACTGCCTTTTAATGGATATTAGCCGGCCCAGGGTAACTGAAAAAGGAAATAAACCGTTTCGTAGACAATACTAGCTTTTTCGGTTTTTATTTGTGTATTGTTCAACACTCTTATAAAATCACTGTGGATCTACAAAATTTATTTGCAATTTAATAAAGATTTTTTATATTTCAATAAAAAATGCCTTTGAAACAATATTTTTAAAGTACTATACATAACGTCTAAAAACAGTTTTCAGTCCATTCTGGTGATTATACATGAAACCGCTTTCAAACAAATAAAACGTATAAATCGTGGCATCGATGCCTCTTGCAAAACTAGTTCTTTACCTACCTAGAGATGAGACTTGTTGTGATGTTTTTGTCACGATACTTAAAAATTCAGCTAGCTCTTAAATGGTTTAATTCAATGTTGACACAGAAAAGCGAAAAAGCGGGATAAGTAGAATTCATATAGACAATCAACAGCAACAGACCAAATATTGTATATAACACTTGAGCCTTTATATTTTTTTTGGCAATGAATAAGGTCTTGAACTTTTTTTTTGCAAATTTCCACTATCATCTTGTCGATTGTTTTAAATATTCAGCAAAAAGGGTTAAACTGAAACAAATTTTTATAACTAACCCAAATACTATATTTTTTTTTAGATTTTTATAATTCAACTATAAAAATGAACGTATATATTCATATAAATAATATATTCCTTTTAAATGTTACATCAAACTGCAGTGATTTAAACAATGATACAGTGCTGTTACATTGTTAATGCTATCACTATGAGAATTGCGACATAACGATGTGCACGAAAGTATGCAGGTTAGGCATTGCTCATCTCTAGCGGGTAGTCATAGTTCTTTTGTACGCGCCCTTAAAATTACGTTTAGCAGCTAACAGGGCATACTAGACTAAAATTAATTAACTGGACCAAGTTAGAATGGTAAGTTATACTGAAATCAAGCTATATATATATACATATCTATATGTGTAGTCTCCAAAAATAAATGAAGCATATAGACAAAGAACGTATGACTAATGATATGCAATTGTTTGTTAGTTTGGAGCAGGTACATTTGTATGTGTGGGCGTTTGATTATTGAATGTTGATAAGGTGCTGATTTTTTTTTTTCAGGGCGATAACCAAATATGTGACATTAGCGAGGAAGTGCTGGAGGAGTTGAAGAAATTTCGCTTTAGCAAAAGCAAAACAAACTCTGCCTTAATATGTAAGCTAATGTTTCAGATTTCTCTTTGTACCACGCGCATGTCAGATGTAGCGTGCCAAGAGCAAATCAAAGCGTCGCCGGTCAGTTAATGACCTCGACCGCAACCATGGCAATGGCCTAAAGAGTCCCAAACAAATGGACTGCTGCTGTTATTTGATAACTGGTTTCCTATTGCTTTGCAGTAAAAATCGATAGAGAGAAGCAAACAGTTGTGCTGGACGAGTTTATAGATGATATATCTGTGGAAGAACTGCAAGATACACTGCCAGGGCATCAGCCACGCTATGTGATCTATACATATAAAATGATCCATGACGATCAACGCATATCGTATCCCATGTGTTTTATATTCTACACACCACGAGATAGTCAGGTGAGTAACTCAACCGATTTGTTTATAAAATGCTAAATATATGAAGTACATATATGTATGTCATTCATTCAGATCGAGTTGCAAATGATGTATGCATGCACGAAGAGTGCGCTGCAACGTGAAGTGGACTTGACGCGGGTCTACGAGATACGAGAGCTGGACGAATTAACAGAGGAATGGCTCAAGGGAAAACTGAAATAGACTTGGCCACATCTGCCAAGAATATTTAAAGCAATATTTTATAATAGCATGCCAGTTTTTTTAACACACATCGTAAACGAGGAGCAACACAAATCTATGACAATGCACGCCAAATACCAACGACAACGTTATACCAAACAAAGCAATTGAAATGACAATTTTTGCTATTACACAATAACTAATATACAATAACAAGCAAAACGATTTATACAAACATACATAAATGCAATATGTAAGAACTTTTCCATTATACAATGCCGAATCAAATACCTTGTACGAAAAGTATTATGAAAAAACAAGTAGCATGTATAGAGACATTTTTTGTAGTGATTTTAGAACTTTGTATTTAAGCAAAGAACATAAATGGATTTTGATTTAGGAATACATCATGCATATATGTGTTTTTGCATGCGTCCTTTTATATATGAGAATAATAGAAGCTGTGCTTGCCAAATTCATGTTCTTAAAGTTAATTTTATATAAATAATGTATAAAACAAAAGTGACAAAATATTCCATTTTATGTACATTTTTAATATAAAGCGGCGTCCATTTAGGACAATGAATAAATTATATATACATACTATACACATATACAGGTCTTTTTCGAATTGTGAAAAAAAAGTTATTTTAAGATGGTGTGTTAAAAAACTCCAGAACTGGCGGGTAAATAGCTAAATGGGCAATTAGTATACCATACTTGGCATCGATTTGTATGCCAAATATAAATAAGTTTTAGTTTATATTGATCAGCTAAAATAGCAGTCTGTTTGAAAGTGAGAAGAAAATGACTGTAACTTATACGGCACAGGTAGCCACCTCAAGAGGCTTTAGCACATTTCTGTTACTACTAGCAAGGTATGTAGCTTTATTAAAACTTAAAAAATCAGTTAAAAGAGATTCTATTTCCGAAGATGGCGTGGTAGTATTTACAAGCTAGTGTGGCTGGATTTACTAATCTTTCAAGCACTATACATTATGCTAACACTATCATATCGGATGCTTATGAATGACAGGGCTCAAAAGTAAGTGCCAATTCTGTATCTTTAAAAATTTCTCCGCTATTTCCAACTATTCGATAGGATTTTCGAGGGTGTTGTCCACTATTGCCATCTTCACGCCACTCTTATACCACTCTCGTTCGTGTTGGGCTTCTATGTGTCCATTGTCATGACGCGTTGGTGGGCCCAATATATAACTATACCATGGCCCGATTCAGTCGCCATACTTGTGAGTGCCCACATCCAGGGTAACGATGATCGAGCGCGCGCCATGCGCCGAACTGTGATGCGATATATATGTCTGTGTCAGGTCATTGTTTTCACATTGATATCGCCCCGAGTGAAGAAACGATTTCCCACATATAACCAAATAATTGAGGCGGGCCTGCTTCTCGAGAACGAAAAGATAATTATTGAGGCATTGGATGCTGCCTTTCCGCATTATCCCAAGCATTGGATGCCCATAGTTTGGGCCGCCAGCATTGTGATGCGTGCCCGCCGGGAGGGTAAGATTCGAGATGATTACGCCGTCAAGTCAATAATTGACGAGTTGAATAAGTTTCGCGGCCGGTGCGGCTTTCTTTTATACTACGACTGGGTTAGCGTACCACTCGTTTATACACAGGTCGTCACTCTGGCTACTTATGCGTTCTTTCTATGTAGCGTAGTGGGACAACAATGGACTATGGATCCCAGCAGTCGCGCTGCGAATAATAAGATTGATCAATACTTCCCCCTTTTCACTACACTACAATTTTTTTTCTACATGGGCTGGCTGAAGGTAGCCGAGTCACTGATCAATCCATTTGGCGATGATGACGATGATTTTGAGGCAAGAGTTTTCAATTTTTTGGCTATAAAATACTTAATCTTCTGTCTTTTATGACAGCTTAACTGGATGATTGACCGTAATCTGACTGTATCATATTTAATTGTTGATGAAATGCATCAAAACCATCCGGAGTTGGTTAAGGATCAGTACTGGGATGAAGTGTTTCCCAACGAACTACCCTATACAAATGAATCGCAACGCCAACCGCCACCGGAAGCATCCACAGCCAAATTAGATTATTTGAAATCGAAATCCTTTGCGCCTTTGGACGCCAGGGTAAGAAAACATATATAATATAATGTACTTATATATTTTAAAGCCAACTATGTATTATTTATATAAATCCCAAAAATTAGACACACAAGTCAACATTAATTTCTTCATCAAGAACTAGCGATTTTGAAAATATTCTACCACACCTTAGCAGCTTTTTGGGTCGTATGATGAGGAAATCAAGAAGCAGCAGCACAATATATGAGTATTTATCAGAGTCAAAACACGCATCGAATATTTTAAACTTTTCGCCAAAAAACCTTACAGCTACCCCACAAATCTATCAATCAGCGAAGAATTTATGGAAACCGAAAGTGAAATGCAGGAAATACACGCACAACAAAACAGCAGTAAATATAATAATGAATAGTTGTAATAACTAATTAATTATATTTTCCATGCTGTAGTGAACTTCGAGCAGCTTATGGAAGAGCGCAATCGCCAACGTCAGGAACGCATGCGCAATCGCTTTTTGAATCTACGAACTACACGAAATGCCAACATTGGAACGGGGGGCTATAAAATAACGGTGCTGCATGCGCCTTCTCTCCGTGGTAGCCAACAATCGGTACATGAACCGGAGGAGGAGGAGGAAGAAGAGGAGCAGCCTTCATCATCAAAAAAAAAGTTGGAAAAACATGATTAGATTATCCAAATATCTTATTATTAATTTTTTATAAATTCAATCGAAAAATACTATTGATAAGAGAGCCAGAAAAATTAATATAATAATGTTTTTAAGAACGAAAAATGGGAAAATTTTTAGAGGGAAGTTTTGCAAATACTTCTAATTTGTTAACACTTTTGTGAAATTTAAATAATCCTACTCTGAATAAGGTCTGTCTAATTAGGGTATTACAATTTCATAAAGGCATAAAAATAATTATTTCCAACTCCCAAATGATGATGAATTTAGATAAAAAGTTGCCGACCTGAACGCATGCGCAATCGCTTTTTGAATTTACGAACTACTTACTAAATAGTAACATCTATTATGACGATGGTTTTACAAAATTATTTGTATTGCATTAGTAACTGATTTATTTTTCTAAATGTAAAGTACATTTTGCGATGCTTAAAACAATTAAGGGCTTATCTCTTGCGTTATAAAGTTATGTTAAAAAGGAATTCTACCGAATACGGAACTACGTAATGACAAAACTGGTTTGTCTAATTGCACGATGGCCCAATAAAGGAATGCAAATGCTATTTCTCTTAGATATTGTTTTAAAAGTGCAATCGTTGAGCTGCTGTTGTATGATGCAACATCGTGTAGCGCGTTTCGCTTGGTGTGGGAGGAGGCGGTGGTGGAGGCGCCAACATATGCGCCATGGCAGCCATGCCCATTTGTGTTGCTGCATTCGGTGGCCCCAAATGATGTAGTGCATCGTGATGGTGCATTGCTGCCGTTGGTGGGGGAGGAGCTGCCGGATGGTGGTAATGATGTGTCATTGGAGGAGGCGCCGGCAGTGGCAAATTGAGTAAATTATTATTCATGGCGTGGGTGCGAAAATGTAAACTTAAGCTATCGGCAGTATCGAAGACCTTGTCGGGACAATCTGGACACTTAAAATGTGAGCTCTCTAGCGTATCTAATCCGACTGGATCCGTATCTATTGCCTCATCGTCATCGTCGTCCACAATATCGTTGGATGTTGAGGTCTCCAGCGGGTGCAATTTCTGCTTGTGTGTGTTCATATCCCTTCTCCTACTGAATCTCTTGCCACACACATCACAGTGATGATTCTTTATGCCTGTATGCGTGATCATGTGCTTCGATAAATCACCCGCTGTATAGAAACCCTTCTGGCAAACAGGACAGATCTGATCACGCACTCCAGAGTGTATTTTCTGGTGCGCCTGGAAATTCCCCAGTGCCGAGAATTGTTTCGAACAGATTTCACATTGAAATGGCTTGTCACCGGTATGAGTTCGTTCGTGCACCTGTTTGTTGTACTTTTGCGCAAAACTTTGTGAACAGTAGCTACAGGTATAGGGTTTTTCACCCGTATGCGTGCGAATGTGTTGAGTAAGCTGAGCCGTGCACTTGAAACTCTTGTTGCATTCGTAACAAGTGTGTGGAATTTTTGCTACCGGTTTCGGTCCTTTCTTCTTGTGCTGTTCCGGTGGTTTGCGCTGATAGCGGGAACGTCGTTTACTTCGCTTTGCTGGCACCACCTGAGCTTCCTCATCCTCACTGGTATGCGCATTTGTCTGGGCACAAATGAATTTGGTTGGCTTGATTTCCATAAAGTCTGTATTGGTTGCCGCATCGCAGATACTAAAAAAAAAGTTAATAAGATTAAGCCTTACTGTACTGTACATAAAGCTCAAAACTCCTCACCCATAGCCTCTATCATGCAGTCCCAGATACTGCCGCAGCCGTATATCCGAGTTTTCACATTCCTGCTTAAAATGGTAGGCAACCCCCAGCCGGTAAATGCAATTATTACAAATCACAGCGGGCAGCCCATCCGTCTTGTAGACCTATAAAATTAAAATAATGGAGACTACATATTTAATAGGATAGTTTAAATCAGTTTTAGTCAGGCCAATAACACTTTGTGAATTTAAATTTAAGGAAAAACTCTGTTATAATAAGATAAAGGAAGGATCTGCTAAAACCAAAATGTTTCGCCCACAGGACTTATTAAAGTCACACACGCAAGCAAACTTATTATGATAAGACCCGCTCTATACAAAAATCGTTCGCAGTCCAACTCCACTGCACACCCAATTTTTTGTTTACCAATTTGTAAATGAATTTATAAACTTACTCGTATTTTTGCGCACATCATCATCATAGCCGAGGGCATCATCGCGAATTCGGTGCTATATATAGAGGTTTGTGCGCCTTCTTCCAGGCAAACACGACAGATTTTGTGAATATTGTAGTCCATTTATCTTGAGAGGAATTTTCTACCCAAAAACAAAACAATAATACACAAGTAGTTTTTGTGGAGGCGATAAGTATCGAACAGGGTGTCGGTGTTAGGCAGAAATCAGCTGTTGCTGTTACCAGGGCTGGTGTATTTAAAACGAATCGCTGACGTGACAGTGGAATTTGTTTCATTAAACTCTTGCAAAATATATAAAGCGGCACTTAAATATAAATCTTAGGCATAAATATCAAGTTGTCGTGCAGTATTCTACACACATGCGACAACGCAAACGTTGTGTGGAGAAGGAAGCTCATTGGAAAAGTCGAGGTATTGGGAATTGGAGCACGGGCTGAAAAAAGGAGCAGTGGCAGGCACAGGCAAAGGCAGCGCAGCCCCAGCAGCCCCCTCTACACACAAGATGCTGTGTATACAAAATTAGCGATTATTGAAAAGCGCTCACACACACACACACGCCAGGTGACAGAAGCGAAAAGCAGGGCGCGTGTGCCGGTAAACTGAATGCTGTTTATACAAAGTGGCTTTTATTTTACTTTTGTGCTGCTGCGACTCGTACATAAGAAACACAAACGCAGCGAAGAAGGAATATTTATGCCTTTGTAAACAAACCGAAACAAAACCGTCGGGTGGCGTCGCTGTACAAGGTTAATCTAAATTATTCAAACGAGCGCGTACACGTATTGACGAAGTGTGGGGAGACTGCGCCGCGACGCCATAGAAGATTCCAGTTCCAAGCGCTGCAAATTCTGCTCAGCAGTTTTACATTGGAGCGTGCAATGGCAACAAGTAAGAACGACCAAGACCAAGATGTTGCAACACTGCTAAGGCAGCGACAAGCGAATGGTGGTCACGAGACTGCGACGAAGGCGATGGCGGCGACGGCATTGCTGGCAAATGGCAAGACAGCAGAAGCAACAACAACGTCAACGATTACAGAAACTGAGAGCGAAGAAAACACTGCCGTAGTTGATGCCAGTAGGCCAACAACAACAACATTATCGAACGCCTATAACTCCGGCACGTTTATGAAATTGAAAACGTATTTGCTGGCCCTGCGTCCTTGGTCGCTATCGGCCAGCTTGGTGCCCACATTGCTTGGATCTGCCCTGGCATACCGTTCTCAGTGGTCGGCACAGTTTTCTATGATCACTTTTTTTCTCACCGCCTTCACGGTCGTCACGGTTCACTGTGCTGGTAATGTGGTTAACACATATTTTGATTTCATCAAAGGCATTGATAAACAAAAGGCTGATGATCGCACGCTGGTCGATCATATACTCACAAAAGATGAGGTAAGCGCCCATCGTAAACATATCTGCTAATTTCGCTAGCCACTACCATTATTTCACAATATATTGCAGGTGGTTTCCCTGGGCGCCATATTGTATATGGCGGGCTGTGCAGGCTTTGTGCTGCTCGCAGTACTTAGCCCCGCCAAAATGGAACATCTGGCGCTCATCTATTTTGGCGGACTCTCCTCAAGCTTCCTTTATACCGGCGGCATAGGATTTAAGTACATTGCATTGGGTGATTTGGTCATCTTGATACTCTTCGGTCCCATTTCCGTACTCTTTGCATTCATGTCGCAAACTGGACATGTGGACTGGAGCACAATGGGATATGCAATTCCGTTGGCCCTAAACACCGAGGCGATACTGCATAGCAATAACACGCGCGATGCTGAAAGCGATGGAAAGGCGGGTATTGTCACACTGGCCATACTCATTGGGCGCACTGCATCGCATGTACTCTATGCGATGCTGCTCTTTATGCCCTACTCGCTGTTCTTCATATTCGGCTTGAAGTATTCCCTGTGGTTTCTACTGCCACTGATAACGCTGCCAAGGGCGTTTAAGATCGAGAAAAGATTTCGAAATGAGCAGACAATGCATGTTGTGCCCAAACAGACGGCTAAATTGAATTTCTTCTTTGGCATACTCTATATTGTCGCCTGTTGTTGTGCACAGCACCTGCCCACCTTTAATTGGCGCAAATGAATATCAATTTTCAGTGCTAACTAGTGCAACCTTTTAGGGAATTTCATTAGACATAAACATTTGTAAAATGTGAAAATGTGTGTGCGCTGTATAACTACAAATTCTTAATTTTTCAACTTGATTTCAATGCCAGTTTACAGCAGCAATTGGCTTCGCATAAAACTTCCTATTTACTTACTATATAGTATGTATGTATGTCGCTCTCTATCTATCTTATGTGTATGTGCTTTAAGGATTGTCGGAGAAATATTGCCAAGCATGCACTCTATAGTATATGCTAATGCTAGTCCCTAAAAACTTTTAACTATGCACCCTTTGGAATATAAGAAAACATATCCTTAACACATAAGGAGTCTGAAATCAAGAATTGAAACTTATAGAACAATTACAACAAATCAACTGCGGAAATGAGAATATTTCCTTTTAAATTATGAACGGCGTTTAAGCATCACAGTTTTAATTTGCAAACACATCCTCAGCATATAAAAATACATTGTACCTCCCTAACTACCTATATACACCTGCATACAACACATTAACACTTTATTTATTTCACATAAAGTTATCGTACATATTCAACTTATATCAATAGTTTATAAACTCTCCAAGCTACTCTTCCTTTGTCTCTAACTCTTGCTTGTTGGAATTATGGACCAAAACCGTTATATAGAGGTGAGAAACAATAAGTAAATCGTATAATGAATAGTTAAAGTTATAGACAGACATTAATCGCGAGCATATACATACAAACATATTTGTATCATGGTGCAGTTACTTAAGTTTGAATCATAATGAATGCAATTTACTTTATAGAAATGCTTAGATCGCATAAATGCAGGATGAGGAGTGCGCTTTGCTTTTTGTGTTGTACGGTTAAGAGAATTGTTAGTGTTTTTTAACAAACATACATAATTTATTACATATATACATACATACATATGTATACATAATGTAATGCATGAATAACATAAATATACATTTGTAGAGCGATAAGCCCAGTGTCTCTAGCAGCAGGCTCAAAAGAGTGAGAATATCTATTATAATAATTATTGAAAAAAAAAAAAAAAAAAAAAAAAACACATTTTTAACAGAAAATTTCAAAACAAAATACAGAATATCAAACGCAAGCGTGCAAAATTTGTTTTCCAAATGAATACCTATGCATATACTATAAACAAATAGCTTTAAATAACAAATAAACTGATGAGCAGGAAGTGGCGAAACATTTGCAATTGTTAAAAATGTTCACAAACATACACACACACACTCACAAACAGCGCATTATTAATATTATTATTGTAATTTTTCATTTTGTGGCAATAATTACGTGCTAGTTTTTATATATGTATTGTATTGTATAATTAGGATAACAAAACATTTCATGTACTTTTAGTGTTGATTTTTAATAACAAAAACCAGATAAGAAAAATATGTCAAAAAAAGATGTGCAAAGAAAAATGCTTTTGTTGTTTGCTGAAGTGCGAGGAGAGAGAAGTCGAAAGGTCGAGAAAGCAGCCAACTAAATGACAATTTTGTAGACTAAAACGAAAAAAAAAGCCCAACACAAAAAAAAAACATCAACAAAGAACAATAATTATGATAATGCAGATGATAATTACAAATAAATGAATTAGAGAAATGTACAATCACATTTAATAATAAAATGTTGTATTTTTTACGAAACGAAAGAGGGACTGGTAAGTGACGCCAGAAGAAAGTTTCAGATCGACAATGTAAAATGTTTTATTTATGAGTATATCTCAGAAATTAGTTTAAAATTTTATTTATATTACAATTGCGCGACAAAAAAGACTCAACTCGAATTGAAATCAGATTTATATATAAATCTCATCTTCGACCCGAGCAAAAGAAACTAATTGTTATTTAATTGCTTTAACAATATTTATTTTCCAGACTTTTCAGCATATACGAGTATTTACAACAACAGCTTACAATGTATTAATTTAAACAATTAATATAGAAAATGAGCCCAAATTTCGACACAAATATACTGGAAAGGTGAAGGTGTGAATGCTCTTCTATAACTTGTGCTAATATGTTCTAAAATTCTGCTTAATTACAAAGATTTAGAAAGTATATTTCTCAAGCCATCTCCTAATCCAAGAAAAATGTTCCTACACAGCATTTATAATGATTTCCAATCAATTTTTTTTTAACATTGCACTGCTGTGAGGAAACAAAAATATTAAAACTAATGAATAAACTCATCGGCCGATCAAAGTTTAAGACTTGACCCCGCAACGTGGTACGAAAAGCACATCGTAGGGCTTGACAGCTGCTGTGATCCCATCCAATGGCACTTCCTCGGGCATCATTCCAGGCAGGGCGATCAGCTTGAAGTGCTGCAAGATGGTGGTCGTGAACATAAACAGATTCTGGCGGCCTAGCAGGTCACCCATGCAACGATGTCGGCCGAAACCGAAGGGATTAAAGGCCTCTGGCAATTTGAGTTGGCCATCGATCAGAAAGCGTGTTGGATCGAAGGATTCCGGTTCGGGGAAGTCAACGGGGTTGTTAAGCATGCCTCTAAAGCAGGCAATAACCATTGTGTCCTTGGGTATTTCGTACCCGGACAGCCGCGTATCGCAGACAGCCCGATGTGGTATGCCAAAGGTGTGAGCCATAAACATCCTTAAGGCCTCCATTGTTATGGCCTCGCAGTAAGGCATTTTGGGGCGATCACTCCACTCAGGTATGCGCTCCAGACCCACAACCTCTTTGATCTCAGTGTAAGCTCGTTCCTGTATCTCCGGCTGGAGGACCATATGCATAAAACAGAATCCCAAGCTCTTGTTTGTGGTCTCTGAGCCAGCTAGAAACAAGTCGAGGCAAGTGGCCAGCAGGCTCTCATCGCTGAACATTTGCTTGCTATCGTTGCCAGCCTCCTGGGCCCTCAGATAGCTATCCATGAGGTCCCTGGGTGTGTCATAGTTCCGGTAACTGCTCCTGTGAAGCTCAATCTCCTTACGCATGAAAGCATAGAGCGCTCTATGACTCTCCATGAATGCCGTATAGCCCGAATAATCGGGGGCTATGAAGCGCAAGAGCGGAAAGTGGCTGAAAAGCGCTCCAACCATGTCAATATTTTTGAATAGCTCATGAAACATTTCCAATAGCTCTGTGATCTCAGGACTGTCTCTCTCATATCTCCGACCACTGAGCATGCACCAAAGTGTGTTCAGAACGTAGATAGCGAACAGATCATGCATGGGAATCCTGGTGGGTCCGCCCCCCGCAGCGAGGACCTTCTCTCTGAGGCCCTGCAACAAACAGGTGGCCTCATGATGCACAATGTCCATCATGCCGCTGCGTGCGAAGCCAAAGTTCTTCAAATGCCGAAAAATGAAACGTCGCTGCTCCACCCACATTTCTCCATCGGTCAGAAGTATACCCAGTCTGGAGTTGAAGGTGCGTACACGATAGAAAATCCCATCGGGTCGCCCATCGATGTCCTCATTAGTCATCATCTCACTTATACTATCGTTCGTATAGGCAATCACCAGCTTGTCCTTGCCAATCTTCAGTCCGTACAGCCCATAAGGGTTCAGATAACGCTTCGCCAGCTCATCGATCACCTTGCAGAACATGCCACAGCGCAGACGCATCTGTGAGATCTGCAAGGCACTTCCCACAATGGGATACCATTTGGGACCTGGCGGGAACTTCGCTGGCTTCCTTACGCCCCCGCACAGAAAGAGCAGCAGGAGTGTGGCAAAGAAGAGGACCGCATAAAACATGTTGTTGCCATCCACCTGTTGCAACGTCCAGGCTTTCACTTGCAGTTGCGCAATCGCTCGAGTGGTTCGTGCAGTTGTTGTTATGGTTGTTGTTGTTGTTTTTGCAACTGTGGCTGCTGTTGCAATGTTGCAAGAGTTTTCCGCGTTGGCCCGTTACTAGCGTCGCGTCGCGTTTACATAAACCGACTGAGGCCGCCGCCTCGACTAGCCGTCTTTTATAGGCCATAGGAGCTTTTCCCTCCTTTCCATCACTTGTGGTCAGAAAAGTAGTTTCAAGAAAAGCTGCTGCTGATTTTCCCCACAAGTTACACCCAAAAATGTATATGGAATCAATTTTAAATTGTTTTTTTTTTTATTATTTTTAAGTACCTTACAAAAAGCAGTTCCCTGCTCTCAATTTGCCAAGAAATTGGTATTCTGGAGACGCAAACTTTATTTTCTTGGCTCATCATCGACCAGTATAGTACCATCAACATGCTTAACACCTTCAGTCCAGCAGTTAATCGAGTCTGAAGACAAGCCTTGACGATCTAAAAAAAGATGACAATATCCTGAAGAAATGCTGTACATCTTTAGATGCTTACTTTATTTCTCACCAATAGACTTTGTATTGCTCTTTACAAATCTTCAAATCACCGTCATCTTCAGCTCTTAGCTGCTAATCAATATTAAGAATCTTTCTTTAAATGCTAACATCTTTGCTCAACATAAGACTCTCTACGGGACTGGCTACATTTTATACAGAGACCAGTATAGCACCATCAACATATTTAACACCTTTATTCCAGCAATTAATCGAGTCTGAAGAAAAGCCTTGGCGATCTAAAAAAAAGATGAAAATATCCTGAAGAAATGCTGTACATCTTTAGATGCTTACTTTATTTCTCACCAATAGAATTTGTATTGCTCTTTACAAATCTTCAAATCACCGTCATCTTCAGCTCTTAGCTGCTAATCAATATTAAGAATCTTTCTTTAATTGCTAACATCTTTGCTCAACATAAGACTCTCTACGGGACTGGCTACATTTTATGCAGAGACCATTATAGCACCATCAACATATTTAACACCTTTATTCCAGCAATTAATCGAGTCTGAAGAAAAGCCTTGGCGATCTAAAAAAAAGATGAAAATATCCTGAAGAAATGCTGTCCATCTTTAGATGCTTACTTTATCGCTTTACGACTGTTTACAAATCTTCGAATCACCGTCATCTTCAGCTTCTAGCTGCTAATCAATATTAAGAATCGTTCTTTAACTGCTAACATCTTTGCTCACCATTAGACTCTCTACGGGACTGATCCACTAATAAACCATTTGTGCTTTTCAGAGTAGTATAGTTTGTCATTTTAAATGATGAATTGTAATGGTTTTTAGATCCGCCATCGATTCGGAATGCAATTAATAGTCGAGATTTATGAATATGTAGATGGGTAAGCCAAAAAGCTTTTGAATATTGATTAACTTTTAAAAGCCGGAACCAACCGATTTGACTTTGTAAGGAAACGAATTCATTTCTTTCTATAATATTAGTTCGGTGACATATTCATGCAATTATTAAAATAATTACGAGTTCTACTCTGCACTTAGAAATAAAATCAAAGTCAAATCTAAAAGTAGCTTAAAATATTGCCATTAAAAATAAGATAAAGGTAAATTACTTTTATTTTTGAAAAATTTATTTGCTTAAAACGTTTGAAATGTTGTTCTTTAAAAGAAATAAGAAACATCATAAAATAAAACGTTTCTTTTCAATATTAACTGAGACCAAAACAATGAGAGTTAATTTCTTTTATATATAACGTAGTACTTAAAATAATAAACAATTTTCTATAAAAAAAAGTGAATTTTCTAAAATTTAAGCCTAAATTTATATGCATTAAGCATTTTTCGCATAAAAAAACAACACTACAATTTAAAAAGAGGTTTATTTAATTAAAACGTTTAATTAAGTGTAAGCGTTTGTTGTTCGTGAAGAACGTCTTGTAATTTGAATTAGCGTAGAATTGGTTAGAGTGTTTGAATTGTAAATCGCACAAATCCAAAATGGAGAAATTTCTCACACCTACAAACAACAAATAATTTACCAAATTAAATAGCTTTTAAGTAAATATTGCAGATCCTTTTCTTTTCAGTTTGTCGATTACCAGGTTTACTTAATTCGTAAATTATGTGGAAATCCATATTCCCTTCTGCTCGAAGTATCTTAGCATTATGAACGTATTACAATCCACAAACATCCACAAACAGAAAGTATTATCGCTTTTTATTAAAACACAACCAGCTGCCTAGGCCAGAAGCCAAGCGAGGATATTAAAGTCCTTTACCCTCGTTCCATCATACCCCACGAAAGTAAAGTATTTGCAACAGTGCAGGAAATAATAATAAGAGCAGGTTTGGAGGTCAATAAATTACTCAAATAATTGCGCTTAGCTCTTTACATAATTATAGGTTTCCACAACAACATTAACTTTAGTGCCTTTCAGATACTTAAGGCCTCCTTGACCCAGTGTCGTCCAAAGTTCAATTGCCTTGCAATTTTCGCGACCGCAACATTGAAAGTGAGTTGTGGGATGTGCTTGGCATGCTGAAAGCCAAAATGAAACACAAAAAAGTTGGCTACCAAGCCAGCAAAGTCATGGAAAACTGGCCAACAGCACAGCAATATGAGGAGGTAGGAAAAACTGCATGAAAAACCAAAACAGAAACTGAAACCGAAAGCAAAAGTGAACCAACCCGTTTGTCGGCCACTTATTATGTCACCACGGAAAGCGACGGCTGCGAATTGGCTTTGTTTTGATAACATGGCGGCGGGACTGGTTCCGGTTTGGATTCGGATACTAACCACCTTTGTTTGTGTTTCGTTAATGAGGCAGCAGGCGAGCTGGCCAAAAATTGCAACTTGTTGACGGCAACTGAGCATCGTGGACTTAAACATGACAGACAAACTGCTAGGCTCCGCATTCGCGAGTAACGCACGGAACTCAACGGACGTTTCACAGGACTTCTGCTGTCGAACACTGCAATGGGTTTTAGGTAAGCAAGGACAACGACTTCGGAGAAAACAAATACTTGTAGTGCTATATTGGGATTATAGTGTTAATAAATAAATAGTAGCGCCATCATTGATCGCCTTTGTTGTAATATGAAGGATATATTCAGATGATTGTTAGGGAATTTTGGCTTCAGCTTGAAAAATTAAACGCTAGGCTTTAGAAGTTAACAAAAAATTTGTTTAGCAAGTTTTGAGCTTACTATCTGACTGATTGTGAGATTAAGAAATATAAAATGAACAATAAATGAAACACTAGGCTTTAGCAGTTTTAAAAGCTTACTATCTGACTGATTCTGAGATTAAGAAATATAAAATGAACAATAAATTAAATTAAACGCTAGGCTTTAGAAGTTAACAAAAAAATTTGTTTAGCAAGTTCTGAGCTTAATATCTGACTGATCCGGAGATTAAGAAATATAAAGTGCACAATGAATTAAATTAAACACTAGTCTATAAAAGTTAAAAAAAAAATTGTTTTAGCTAGTTGTGAGCTTACTATCTGTATGATTCTGAGATTAAGAAATACAAAATTTACAAATAAATTCTAACAAAAAGTGGAAAAATGGTTGTGATATAAAATTGTTCAGTTTTACAGATCGATAGCTCGGGGGAAATACTTTTATAATTTATAAACATAAAATTCATTGTTAGTTCCTAGAGAGATATTGACAAAGAGTCCCTAAATTTAAATTCATGTGGACCGACCTCGGACAGGCAGACGTTTTTAAACCAAGTTTTGAGCGTCTAGCTTTCCTGAGCTTACAACAGTAAGACATATTTATAGCTTCCAGATATCTAATAACATTAGGACAAATATGAAAGCTTTGCACGAAGAAATTGTACGATATCTGAACGAGATTAGCTATTGGGATCATTTTAGTTTGTTTATTGTTATAATTTTTAGATCGAACTCAGGCTCTATTTGTAAAATTAGATTCATTATCCGTTTAACTTCAAATGGGTTCAACTCTTTTTGGATCAAGTTCTGAATGTTTGTTGTGTAGTTTCAATTGGGTTACTTTTGGAGCGATATTTCTCTTATTCTGTTCCATTACTTCTCCATTCATATTAACTCACTAAAAAGCCTTCTTTTAAATAATTTTTAATAGATTTTTCCTGTTGGCTGCCATGGGACTGGGTGCTATGTATATGATGCACTTGTTGGCGCAGGATTGGACTCGCATTCGACCTATTCGAGGCGCCACTCAGTTATTGATGCAGGCCAGCTCGGCCCTACAGTTGAACCGAAATAGGCGCGACACTTTGCGAAATGAGCTGGGATGGGTGCGTGGAGCGCAGGACACGGGTGGAGGAGGAGCGGCAGCAGCAAATGGGTTGCGACACCCGGCGCTCCCCACTCCCGGCATTGACTGGAAACGCATTTTATCGCGTGATCCCTTCGAGTGCCTCCAATCGCTCATCTGCCAGTTGATGTCGGGAGCCGAGGCTGCTTCGCAGGAGGCTGAATTGCTGATGGATTTTTTGGAATCCTCGGTGGAAATGGCGCCTGCAAAAATCGGTCGCGCATTTAGTCGCGGACTGGCGTTACGCGGATCGACCGACCGTTGCTACGATGAGTATCCCTTCTGTCTATATTCGGCCAAAACAATGCTTCGAATTCTGCGTTGGTTCAGTGAGGAGGGTACTGATGTGGAGGATAGGTAAGAGAGTTTCCCAGGGCGTTTACAATTATAATAACTTAACAGCTTCGGGCAATGCGTTGCCTGCATATATATAAGATATATATTGTTAACAATACAAAATATAAAAGGATATTATTTTGAGTTTTCTTTAGTTATGTCGAATTGAGAATTGGAACAAGCGTAAGCATGTCTTTCGGTTTTTAATATAAGGTCCTTAGTACAGAAGTTTGCTGGAAAATCTGAAGGATTTTCTAAAAGCAAAGAATATCATTCAAGATGTACCAGGTAGTGGCCCTATGTTCCAAATGCTTGCACGTTTTAAAATTAAATTCTTTCATATTAAGCTCCAGTTAGACAAGGAAACTCCCTTTGGAACCTTTTTGTATTAAAACTAAAGTATCTTCACATTATGAAATGCAAATTAAATATAAGTTAAGAATAACCAACTAGTTACTTTATCCTAATTGTTCCCATTGTTGCTGATAATCTTTACGCTTAACTGTTCCCATTGTTGCTGATAATCTATATTTAGAAAACCCATTACAAAAGCAAACCAATTTCATAATTCATATAGAAAATGTTTATTTCAACAATCACTGCGTAGTTTCATTATGCAAAAATATTCATAAATATTTATTTATAAGTATATAGAGTACTATGTAAACAAGAAAGCGGAATGAGAAGAGACCTGTAGTTTTAGGTACAAAATCAAGGAAACTTTTGTTAAATTTCTAGTGCGCTTTACATAACGAATGAGCGAGTAATTTGAGTAGATAGTTGTTATAGGACTATAAAGCCTACCACTTTATAATTTTAGGATTGTTAAACTTAGGTTAATGGGCTTTAGATAGAGAGCGCTGTTTTAAGAACTAAAAATAAGTGTTTGTACAGTTTTTGGAGTATACGAGTATATAGGGTGTTTCCTTTCATGGGGTGGGGGGTAAGAGATATTAAGATTCGTGTTGTATTCGAGCTTCTGGGAGCATTTGAGAGCTAAAAGTTTGTGCATTTTTTGCCAACATAAGCACCAACTAATTGCGCGGAGATTCATTTCAATAAAATTAAATTTGAGCGCCAAATAAAGAGACATGTATAAATATTTCAAAAAAGAGATAGCGCGTGATAAATAAAGTAACTTCATGATGTGGGGTTCCGGCCATTTAATGTCACGTTGGTCACATCCCTAACAATCATTTCGGCCACCTGCCAAGCAATTTCCTCCTGCACATGATCCTCGGGTAAATTAACGAGTTTCCTCATTGCATTCTTCAGCTTACTGCCACTCAATGACCAACTCTGTTGCGACTCGACCGCCTCAAAGTCTCGTTCGTAGCGTCCCAGCGCATTTACATGTCCAAATTTTAGGGCGCCACTTATGGGCCGCTGCCACAACAATTGTGGATTATTCAATTGCCTAGAATCGATGTTCATGTTGGTGGCCGGCTTGGTTGTGTCCATAGCAGCCAGCAGCGTGTTGTGCTGTGAGATATGCGTGCAATCCGACATGGAAAGTGTTTTCCGATGGCGCTGTTGGGCCGATAATTTGGGTGCCCGACGCAGGCTTAACTTGTGCTGCACTGTTGCCGTCAAAGATGGCCGCTCGTTGCCGCCCTGCTTGGCCTTTAGCTCATTCACATAGTTTGCAAAGGTGCTGGATTTGAGAAAATCGGCGAAATACTTTTGCTCCAAATAGGTGGCCGTCACCAGCAGTGCTAAATCGAATGCATAGGCTAATTGGCCGGGGGCACAAATAGTTTCTTCCACACGCAAACGCATTTTGTCCGACATCCACAGTCGGCAATCTGACTGAAGCGAGAAATAGCGCTCGTAAATGACCATAGCATCTGCCTGGGCCTGGTCCAGACTAACGGGCGTCGACGAAGCGAAACTTTTGCGAAAGTTTATGGCCGTTATCCAAAATTCCAGGCATTCACGTTCATGCTGCTGTTCCAGGTACTCGGTAAAGTAGAAGAGCGCCACTTCGCTGTAGAGAACATCGAATATATTGATCTGGGCGCCATCGATGAGCTCTACACAGTATTTGCAGTAATAACTGCTCTGCAGAAATCCATGCACATGATCACGTTCCAGCTGCTGTAGCACATAGTCGCGCGCCTCATCGAAACAGCTCGCTGGAATGGGCTTCTCGAGCTCATCTCCAGTGCAACTCTTGCCGCAAAGCAGCAATGAAATGTGCGCCAAAATGCCAATCGGCAGCTCCACAAACAGTCGAGCATTTACAATCAAATACTTTTGATATATGGCTATAGCATCCTTAATGCTAGCAGCACTGATGGCCTCACCCAATGTACTGCTGCACAGCGACAGCTCCGAGCTGGCCTTGAGGCGATTGCTTTTGCTGATCTGTTTATTGGTCTCCGCATAGATGCGGCTTTTCTCATCGTCTGTCAGTGGCTTGCGCATGGACAGATCGCATAGTGTTTTCAACTCAGGTACATCGTTATCCTCTCCATCATCATTCTCCTCTTCCAGATCTTCTGATGCAGAGTTGATGGCTTCATCCGCACTGCATGCGTCCGGCCTCTCACCCTCCTGTTCCTCCGGCACCGACTGCTTCTGCAGCTGTTCGCGTTCCAGTTGTGTGAGTGCGGCTCGCTTGAAATTCTCAATGTCCAGATAGAATTTGATAAGCGGTAGACCATTCCGTGCTTCCAGAAAGTGCACAAAATAGCTGAGGCAATTGGGATCACTAACAATTGCGGCCAGCGTCATGGAAAGCCTTGAATTGTACTTGAAAATATCTGCACCAAAATAAAAAATATATAAATATGTATTATAATGGATGTCAAAACGTGATATGGCGATTTAAGTGCGCAATTTTATTACAAATTTACTGCCGGAAATAACCGGCATTTCTGCACACACACACTTACATACATATATATGTATATAAATACAAACATCGCACTTTATTTATGCCAATTACCTTCATCCGCGCCCACATTGGGCAAACCATTGCCTAAGCTGCCACACTGGCTGACTGCATCGCTAGACATGGCGGTGGCGGTTGCTGCTGCCGTCGCCGTCACCGCTGCCGCTGCCTCCTCCGACGTGTTCAGTTGCTCTAAGAAAACTTCATCACAGAAACTTGTTGTGGAGCGCAGCGAGTGACGTTTCTGAGCTGCGGTCGCATCGCATGTATCAGCACCCAAATCCACATTGTTGTTGTTGCCAACGGCTTCATCTTGCGAGCTGCGCCGACGGCCTGTTTGGAAGAGTTAAAGAATTCGTCGTGCTTAGCAGACAGCAACAAAAAAATACAATAAAAGAGAAGATTGGCTCATTGATGACACCAATCTACTACTACTCGTACATACATATGTATATATGTATGTACGTGTGTAGCAATGTATGTATGTACATACATAGCTAACAGTTGTTTTGCATACGACAGCAAAAAAACAGCAGCAACAACCACAAGTAAAAGCGCATTAAATATCAGCCATAAAATATACTTACTTGTTTGCCTCCTAATATATTTCAGCATCTTTGCATTTTATTCGTTACATGCTAATAGTTTATTGTAATTGTTTAAAACTAAACGTAATTTCGTTGCCTGCGAATGTTTAAGCAACACAGATAGTTTCTCATATTACAGTTGTGTCGAATGGTTCGGAATAAGTTCGATCGAACTAATAAACTGAACGAACGAACGAACTAAATCCAATTTTTGATTTCTCTAGTTCGTTCTGATTCACAAACTCTTTCTTCGTGCAATCTTTTTGCGCCAACTTGTTGGATCTTTTTATACCTTTTTTAAAAAGCTCAAAAACGTTTCAAAGCGTTGAATAAATACATTGTTGTAAAAGGAAGATACGTTTATTCAATTCTATGCAGCAGTACTGTGGCGAGGTCCCAAAACGATTATTAGCGCTACATTAAAGTTAAATCCTAATAACAATCCATCGCATCATCACTGACCACTTCCCTTTGATTAATATATTTTTGTATATATTTTGTATTTTTGTGTATTCATAAGATATTTTGATTTAACAGAATGAACTGTTAACAAGTTCATGAGACTGAACAAAACCATTTTAGCAGTAAAGCCATGCCATCTAGGTCTAAACTAGCAGCATGTAGGCTAAATTTGGCTCGTTTATGGGAGATCTGTCGGTATGGTAACTTCAGTGCGGCAAGCTGCCAACTCAGTGAACTCGCTTTGTTTATTGCGCCGCAGACATCTGCAGCTGCGTCGAAACTGTACTCGTTACATTATCGCAGGTATCGGTCATCGCTAGTTCCACTCTCATTCTTTCGTGCGTATTTGAACCGAACGGACGTTGTGTCGCGCTTGTCAAGCATTTTGCTGATATATCTCTCTCAGTGTTCGTGTGTGTGTATATATATATGTATATATACAAGAGCGCTGTAGCTGCGGCAAAATAAAACGGCAAACATCAACAACAGGGCCGCGCAACAAAAAATATCGTTACGCAAAAATTTGCAATTTTTAAAATTGCCAGTGCTGTGCTAAGTTTCTTTCGACGGGCTGTTTCTGTGCTGTTGAGTGCGTAGGCTCGTGTGTAGATTTATTTAGTGGATGTGCATACATATGTGCGAGCGTTTGTGTATGTGTACGTGTTTGTGTGCCTGGCCAAACAATTTGCCGCTAAACACAAAAAGCAGCTGAAGGCATATAAAGACCAGCTGACGGCGAACCAACTGCACACACACACACAGAAGAGCATAGCAAACCAAACACACACAAAGATCGATTTGTAAAAGTGTAGTATATATGTGTGTACGTGAGGAGTGGGAGCAACTAACAACAAAAGTGAATTAAACGATTAAATTTTAACTACACGTGGTTATTTAAAGAAAAACTACCAACTATAAACTTGGTTACAAGCAAATAACACACACACCCAAACAAAATAGTTTAAAACATGTCTGCTGTACCTTTGGCCATCAAAACGGAGGAAGTTATTCTGGAAAACGCCGAGTACAATAGTGCCGAGGAATTGGATGAAGAGTTACAGTGAGTTTACATTTATTTTCTGTTTTCATTTTCGTGCGTATCGCATAACCGTTATTTGTTTAGTTCAATTGCAACTGTTAAAATAAACAACAGTCGTGACAACAACAAGTACAGCGATAACAATAGCAACAGTCAGCAGGAGCGTACACCTTAGATTGCATTTTTATCACGCAAATTATTGATTATTTTTTCATTTGCTGCTGTGAGACCAAAGCAGAAGAAGGAAATTCATTTTGCCGCCTGTTTTACCGCACAAAACAAATGCGGCACAAAAACACCACCACCATTTATCCATTCCTCTCTCTATCTCGGCTGTTCTCGTGCAGTCAACGACGCGACAGACACTTACACACACATATGCACTTAGCACACGTTTATTTGACATTCCATTCCGTTTCCACAACATTCCCGTTTGCTGGAAAGAAAACGAAGTGACGCTACAACTTTTTTCGTTCGTCTGCTTTGCTCTTTCCTTTCCACATGTGTGCGCTTGTCTTCTTCCATTCCATATTGTAAAAACGGCTGTTTTGTCAATTTGTTCAGCCGCGTCGACGCTACACTGCTGGCCAAAATATTATGCATGCCGGCAAAAGTAAAAGCAATATAAATACGTTTGTATGCATGTACATATGTATATATGTAAATAAAACACAGCTGCCAATTCACTTGATGGCTGTAGATGTGATCGCTCTCTTCTCTCCGCTCTCCCATTCTCCTTCTCTCTCACTGCCTCTTCACTTTCAACTAACTCACAAAACAGCTGCGGAGCTGATGTTATCAAAAATGACAATTGCCTAATCAACATGCGGTATCGGTTGTAGTTGAATTGAAATCAGCTGTACCGGTATGTTGCCTATAATCATATGGTTTGTCTAATACGCTGATATTTTTAACAATTCGCTCGCTACCTGCGCGCAAAGTGAGCGACAGCAACAACAATAACGCTAATGCGCCAGCGACCACCTTGCGTGCAAAACGTGAGAAAAGAAAATTGTAGAGAAATGAAGAGGGAGAGAAGAGCACAACGAATGTACAGTTTTCAGTTATACCCTTCACTGAGAAGTGTAAGGGTTTTTTGTACTAGTTTGTAAGACCCATACAGAAGAATATTGGACATACGTATATGATCAGTCCCTTGTTCTTTGTTTAAAGCAATATTATTTAAACTTTACATATGTATGTATATATTGAAACAAAATTGCATATTAAAACGCTATTATATCTGATGGTGTGTTGCAAAAAACATATCGAATTGAAAAAAATCCATCCAATTGCAAATTAGAGAGTAAAGATTGTAAGATATAACTGTGGAAGATCAAAAATTTGTGTGTGCCAGATTGAAGGGCATATGGCATATGAATATAACTTCGAAGCTCATTTGGTTTTGTTATTGTTGTTGCTGCTGTGTTGTGTTCCTTCTTTTCATTGCCTTTGGCTGTCACGATCGATGAACGTTGATTTTTAACACACACCTCTTTCTTCTGTTGTTGCTTTTTGTTGTTATTGCTATATCATATTGGGAGTGTGTAGGTCGGCGCACTCAAAGCGAAAGTTCCAAAGTCCCTTTATCAAAATCATATGGGTTCCATTTTCTTTTGTCACACGTCATGGTCTGCTTATCAGCCGGTGCTGTTGCTAGCATATGTTTTGCGAATCCCACACATACATATGTATGAATATATGAACACACACATACATATTTATATACATTTTATATTGGTATATTTTGTTGACGTATTAAAATACATATTTGCGCGCGGAGTACAATGTTGGCGAACTACGCGAAGAGAAAAAAGTAAAACAGGCACTCACACCACCCACTCAGCTGTCTCAAGGCTTTGGCTGCCCGGTCGGTTGGTCGGTGGGTCTGTTTGCCAGCCTTGATGATGTCGTTGTGTGTGGGCCTGCTTATCAATACGGCAGGCGGCTGGCAATTATTTTCCATATGTTTCTGTTGTATAACTCAATGTGGCGGCTACTGTTCGGCTTAATATACCAATATGTATTAACTAAATGTTTTCTCAGAACAGCTGACAGCTTGTTTATTCTGTTTCGTAAACACAACTGCCATACTTAAATTACTCATATTAATTGTAATGGTAAAATTTATGAAACGATATAACTATTAAATATATAATGCTGTCACGCTGTTTCTGCCACCACTGTAAACTTACGTTTTATACCAAAAAATAATTTGAAACCAACAGCTGCCGGTAAGACCGAGACGTGAACGCCGCAACAACAACAGTAGCAGCACAGGCAGCGACGCGTCAGAGGCTAGTGCCTTGGCTAAAAGTCTCCAAATGGCAATGCCGCGTTGCATTTTTATTGCAACAACAACTCAAACCAAGTGCTACGTAACCCGTACATGAGTTTGTCTTTATGTGTGCGTGTTTGTGCGGCGTCGTTTCCGTTTTCCCCACACACTGGAAGCGCCAACAGAGCAGTCGTCAGCCATGTTCTACACAGACTTTAAAAAAATAACAGCCGGGCCAGAGCCAGAACACGTACTACATACATTTGCATGTACATAAATACAAACAGTACATATGCTTGGAAATGCACTTTTTTGCCAAGTACATTAGCAGAGCCGCTCCCCAGTTGGCTTTTGAGTATATAAGGAATGCATTTGTGTGAGTTTGCACTCAAAAGCTTGTTGCGCTCTCCCCACTCATTGGTGCGAGTGGGAGAGCACCAAGTGGGGAATTTTGCAAAAGTACAGATGCCGCCACACAATGCAGTGCTTTTTACTACTACTACCACCAAACACACACACACACACACTTATTTCATTGAATAAAAAAGGAAGAGAATGCACAAATGTCGCCGTCCCTGCTACTGTAGTGAACGCGTCAGCGTGAGTGGGTGAGAGTGAGAGCGCAAACAAACAACAACAGCAATCAACGACAGCGTATAAATTTGCGAAAAAATTTAGCACAAGAAATAACAACAAAAAACGCAATGAAAAAAAGAAACAAACCTGCTAAGTTAGATAAAAGCTGCTGCGCAAATTTTTGGGCGATGGCCCGTCGCCGCTCTCTCTCTCTTGCTTGGCCGTATGTTTCAGATGCCAAAACGTTTCGCCGTATTTTGCACTCTCACTGTGCATTTTCTCTCTCTCTTGTGCCGCCTGTCTTGTGCTTGTTTATGAAAAACACATGATTTTTGTGTACAACAGATTTTTGGGGCACGGCATGACGATGGATAGATAATGAATGAGGAAGGCGGGGGCTACCACCGGGTATAGACAACTACGCCCACATACAGCCGCCTGCTGTCTGTTGCGTATAAATCGGCACATACATACATCCATACAAGCACGAACATATCGTAGTTTTACGATGCAAATTTGTAATTGTTTAAAGATTAGGTTGGCAACTTTGTTGCTGTCTGCTTGCCGGCGTAAAACTGTTTGAAATCAGCTGTATGTATGTAGCATAGTGTAGTTTTATTTCAATGCGAGAAATTAGCGCATAATAAATAACAGCTGTTGTTGCCTTTTACACCTTTCATTCTTTTGCATTTGGATGTATGTGCGTGCGCATGTACAATAACAATAGCTTTTCTACATATGCATACATACATACGTATGTACATATGTAAGTATGTATGCTCATTGACAGGCTCTTACATAATGTCTTGCATTTAAATTGCAATTCGCTATTATCGTTTTGTAAGTATGCAAAAAGATCTCTTGAAGAGGTAATTAAGCTAGTGGCGAAAGCAAAGTCTAATTTAACAAATATCAGATGTATTTTCCATTTTTTTTGGGGCAGATACTATTTAACAATAAGTATAATGCATAAATGAATACAAATGTCCAAAGGTAATGCTAGGAGGGGTACACAGAACTCGCATAAAACATGATAAAAATTCGCCACTAGATAGACTGCCGTCGGTGCTAATGTATGTATATATGTGTTTGTGTGCATGCAAATCCGGCTGCGTCTGTTTATATTTTTATTGCTAATGTGGCGCCAAATAGCAAAGGGAATTGTAACAACAACAACAAATGCAACTAAAAGCTGTGCCATGCTCTTCGTATTGTTTTGAAGAATTCTAAACTTTCCATTAATTTATTATGCGTCTTCATTATTTCTACTTTGTTGTTGGCAGTTTGTTGGTTCTGTGATTGTAAGTATTGTCGCTGTTACGCAAGTGGCAAAAATTTATTGCGTTGCAGCTTTCATTTCTCATTAGACGCTTTTCTCGTTATTGCTATTGTTGTTGTACTGTTGCTTTTGTGTTTGCTCTTTCCATGCCTGCCACCTACAACAATGTATGTATTATGTACATGCATACATCATTTTCTACGTTTTAGTTTTACTTTTTTGGCCTTTTATTTGCTAATAGCTACGTGACTTGGCATAAAATATGACCGCATTTTTACTGCATTCACAATGAGTGTGTGAGATCGTGTGTGTGGTTATAAATTTTCGGCCAAAAAAGGATACACAACATAATGGCTACATATACGGCACAGTGCCGGCTAATAATGTATGAATACGCATAGTTCAATTTAAGGAATTGAATATATGTTAGAAAGAAGTATCTCCAAGGTGATTAACTAAGTCCAATCGAACATTACATGCATTATGGATTAAATAAATTGTAATAAAATGAGAAAAGTAAGCACTCAAATTCGTAAACAAAAAATGTTTGTATTTTTGATGTATTTTAGGTTGACCTATTCATATTAATATCAATAGCAGATTACCATTTTTTCATAACTTTCTATGTAAATGTTCATAAAAACATCTTACAATTGTTCTTTTAGGCTTAAACTAATAATAGTTTTTGCATTTGGAACAATTGTGTCCCCTGGACGTTAAAGGGTTAAGTGAAGATTTTCATAAAAATGGCACAAGTGTCACTATTTCTCTGTCCTCTGCCGTATTGTATAATAGTCTCTGTTTCATTTTTCATATGCAACTTCTCAGCAGCAGTGTAGCTGTTGCTTTTTTGGCGCGCGCTTTGTTTACTTTTCGCTCACTGACTGAGGAGCGGGAGTGAGAGTTTGTGAAAAAGACGAGTTCGGTTAAAGGTTGACTTGACTGGCAGTGCTGCCAAATGCTATTATTGTAGCTGACTGAGCTGCAATTGGTTGGTTGTTGGCGAAAAAACATGCCGGCAAAGGAGACACGGATCAGGCAGACAATTATAAAGGGCGTTGGCAACGTTGTTTACCTTCAGCTTTTGTTGTCGTCTGTTGCATTATGCCGTTACATGCATATATGCATAAGTATATTTGTAAATATATTATATAATACGCAGCTTGTTTATCTTTATGAATCGGAAAACAGCAATAAGCGGCAAGGCATCGAAAAACGCGTTGTTCTTTTTATCGTTATTGTAATGCGCTCACCTGCAACCGAAACGTTGCAGTGGCAACAAAAACAACGTCGAAATTCCAGCGAAATGTGTGTAATGATGACGTAAGCAATGACCCAATAAACGTGCATACATATGTACATATGTATGTACAAGTTATGTGTAGCCCAGTAGAGTTGAGAGCAATGCAAAGCGGGTCGATTAAAGTGCTGCGGGTGGCGACCGGGCTAGCAAAATAACGCTCGGCATTGCAGCAGCCACTCGTGACTTCGGCTCTACGTACATATGCATGTATGTGTGTATGAGTGTATGTATGTTAGTAGTTGTGGCGAAAAGTGGCCAATGAACTGCATTGAACTCGCCCAATGTGCCCCTGCTGCAGCAGCAGCAATGAAACAAAAACAACATTAGCAGCAGCAGCTGTCATGCGTCATGTCTCATTTCTTGTTTTTGTTTTTGTTGGTGAAATTGCAAAACAAAAAGTGCAATGTTTGCATGTGCAGTGCATCTTAATTGCCATTTAAATGCCAATGCGTGGCTTTTTTATTTTTAAACGCAAACATTTGCATATGATTTTATACGCGCACTTGTTGGGGTCACACTGGTTGCCGAAAAACTAACACTTGCCACATACAAGTTTTGAAGTAGAGATGTTTGGCAGTACAGTATATTCCATAGATTTTATAAAAGTTATCGAAAAATTAACAATAAAACATTGGTTTATAATTTAAAAAGTATTAGGTTAAAAAACACCAAAATTATAGTAATAGTAGCAATTAACCAGACGATTTTTAGTTTTTTTAGTTTCATAGAGCAAAGGTAAAGTATCAACAGATATTTGAGAAATTAAGTTCTACCTACATTATAGTACTTATTATTATTATAATAAACTTAAAATCTGGAATGTGCAGTAATGATAACCTTTCTATTGAAACAGAATTTATGTAAACATGCTTTCCTTGTAGATTATTTTATTACAATGATTTAGACTGCATTTAAAATTTAATCAACTTTGTGGTGTACACAAGTATGTATAAAAAATTTCTTTTATAATGGTTTTGCTTTACGACATATTCTCCGCAAAGGCTTCTGCTGTCCTATACTACTGTATTCTAGAATATTGTTAATCAGACTTCAAGAGTTTGTATCGAGCAAATTTTAATTCAATAAAGTTTTCATGTTCTACAAAGCTTTTCTAACTTCCCACAAATTCTTTCTGATTGTATTTTGTGCTGCTCTAGTTTGTTGGTATTCGTGTACTGTTTTGTCGCCTCATAATTTGTTTCCGCACGCTAAATTTAAATCTTGTTTGTAAATTCAGGCGCAACAGCTGTTCTTTGCATGTCTACGTGAAGTAAAACACGAAGGCCCAACAGAAACAGTAACAACAAAAACAAAAACAATATCAAGAACATTTTTGGCTGCTGGGCATTGAGGGCTAACACTCAAACACACACGCACACTTTCCCCACTAATACATGCACAAACAGGTGCCAGCAAAATACTTGACGTACATAGTTTCATTCAACTTTTGGCTTAAACAAACGCCACAAACGAAATGTTGCCACACACAAACAACATTCTTTTGTGGCAACAAAACAACAAAATCATCCACATCCGCCTCTGTAAGTTGCACAAAGCTGCCTGTTATGAGTTGGCCAACAACGACAAGATCTCTTGCCAATGTGGCTGTTGTTGTTATTTTAGTTGCCAGCAAAGCGCGAAAATTGTTGCGGAGAACGACCTTTGGAGTTTTGTTGCTAAAAATAAACCGCATACTACAACAACAACAACACCAAAGTCACCGTCTAACATTTTCTATTGCCTCAGCATCAGCATCTCTTGAATGTTCTTCAGTGCTGATGCCGATGCTGCTGCTGGAATGCAGTGTTGCAAGTTTACACAGAAAGAGGCACACACACACATATATATATATACACAAGCACAGCTGCGCATTCATATGACGCGCTCATATGTTGGCTGGAAGCGATGTTGTGGTACCTTTGTGAAAATTGTTTTCATTAGCCGCCTAGTCACTGCCACACAGAGCCATCACAGCAGAGAGTCTAGAGTTGAAAAACTAAACATGTTTGTTATTTTTGTCCGGCAAACCGGTTTGAAATTCTTATGCTGCAGCACATAAAATGCAGCAGCAGCATCAGCGAAGAACAACACAGACTCTGGCAATCACTGCAGCAGCAGCAGCAGCACCAACACCAACAATAATAAAAATAACAATAACAAAAGAGCACACCACTGCCCATATTTGACAGCAGCTGTATGAGGCCGGCGGACAGTTTTATGCGCTCAGCGGCAAGCCGCATTCTCGCACTCACCTCATACTCTCATGCCAGACTCTCTGGGCCAGCTTTTGTTGCTATTATGCCTAGCTTTGCTTTGGATTGCTTCTTTTCTGCTGCTATAGTATGTTGACTGGGGGCCATCGCATTGTTGTACATATTTTTATTATTTGTACGTAAATTGATGCTGGCTTGGGGCTGTGCAGTCGCCATAGGCTGCGACTGCGACGCCAGCGACGACTGCTCTTTGCTTTGTGTGTGTCTATGTGTTAGTGTGTGTGTGTGTATGCGTTGGCGTTGCCGTTGCTGTTGCCTGCGAGACACGGCGGCTAAACTAAAATTGAATTGAATGGAATTGTAAATTTATGAATGAATGAATTTTTCAAGCTCTATTGTGTATGTGTATGAGCGTGTGTGTGTGTGTGTGTGCAAATGAGTTTGTAAGCTTGCAGTCTTGTTGAGTTAAACATGTGTACGATGCATGTAGGATTTGTAAAATACTGCCTAGAGAAAAACTGGTTAGACAATTACAATTTTAAACACAAAAAGCAACTAAAAACACACATGTTTCTTTGAAAAACAAAAATCCGTTCATTTCGGAACCGAACGTTTAGCAGGCATGGCTAGGATCGGGAAGATGGAGAAAACATTTTAAAATTGTCGGGCGGGCATGAACGAAAAGTTCATTAACAGGTCTGTCGAAAGAGTGATGGGAGAGGAGGAAGTTCCACAAATTATAAACATATTTTGTTTTATTTCATTTCATTCAGATAAAAGTAGAAAATAATTCAAATAACATCTTCCTTTTTTGAAGTCGGTTAAAAAGTAAAAGAACTTACAAATATAAATCTTTTTTTTTTGTTGTTTTATGCACTATCTCTAATTAAATTTCTTGTACACTCTTTTACAGGCTACAATTGGAAGATTCAGGCGGTGAGAATACGTATCACATTGAGTATACCACCGAATCGCCGCATCAGGTTACAACAAGTTCACAGCGTCGTCAGTCGAATATGACTGGTTCAGGCAGTAATAGTGGCTCGAATACCACAAAAGGTGGCGGAGGACTGGGAGGAGGCGGAGATGGCGGCAGCTCTCCCAGTGGCAAAGGCGTAATGGACAGCGAGAAGAGAATGCGACGAGAAATCGCCAATAGCAACGAGAGACGTCGCATGCAGAGCATCAATGCCGGTTTTCAAAATCTGCGGGGCCTTTTGCCGCGTAATGAGGGCGAGAAGTTGAGTAAGGTAAGTTACAAGCTCTTTATTAAAGAAGGCAAGCATGCATACTTTGACGAAATAAAAACTTTAAAAGAATTTGTATAGCAACAAAAAAAGAAGTAACATAAATGTTAAACTTGTTGTTCCTACAGTATATTAAAAATAAATCATATTTAAATAGGAAACATAAAATATAAATGAAAACATTTAGTGATCACTAGCTAGATAATGTTTAGATTAATTACCGAAATTTACAGTTAAAGCTCTTATAGATTTTCATTTCTTCACAAAAACATAAAAGATACAAATATTTATGAAAGTAAATATTTTATGAACCTGAATGGAAACAACCTTAACTAAGATATAAGTACATATACTTTCAATTTGGCTAATGGTTTAAAGAGTAACTTTAAATACAATAATTTATTATTATTATTATTATTTGTTAAATTTTTATTTAAATGTTCATTATACTAACAATTGCCGCCCTATCTACAAAATCGTCGTTTGTACACGCCTTAGATTACATTTTTGTGGGTTATAGTTAAATCTCTCACAGTTTTCCAGCAACTGGCGGCACAGAGTACAGTTTGAGTTGCATTGCTGTTGGCTCGCCTTAATTGGATTGCAGCGTTTTAATATTTTTGTTGCTAGTTGTTGTTGTTTTGTATTGCATTTTACACTTCAACACCTCAGTCAATACATTAGTGTCTGTTGTCCATCTGTCGTCTGCCCGCCTGTCCTGCCTGTTTGTCCTCGCACGCAACTCCAATTACATGGCCACACAACGCCAACAACAAATTGGCCCCTTGCTTGTGAGAAACAAAGCGCCACCGCTTGGCTCTTTGAGCCTTTAGCTTTAGCCTCCTCTCTCGTCTGTAACTTAACAGCATGGATTTCATGTTGTTATTGTTATGTATGTTTTCGCACGCCAATGGCGACGTCCACAGCACTGTTTTTGTTGTTCTTGTAATGCTCACCTTTCTGGCCGTCTCGTCTTATATCGTCGCCGTCTCTCAGACACATGAAGGTCCCTTTTAAGTAGTAGTCATGGCAACTGTGTTGGCGTCGTCGCTGCGGCTCGTGTTGTAGGCCTTTTTGCATTTTTTTTTTATATTATGTATGTATGTGTATGTGCATATTTATTGTTTTTTCACCTTGAGACAACATCGATTTGTTTTGACGCGCATACAGAGTCTGCGAGAGGGGCGAAGTGGGCAACAGAGAGAGAGAGGGAGAGAGAGAGGCTGACTGGGTGGTGGTCATGTTTGTGTGGGTGGGATGCCACTCGGGCTATTGCAGACGCCGCTAAATCAACGACATGTCATATAATAAGATACATTGTTCATTTTTATGGTTATTTATGCGTCTGCCGCAATGCCGTTACTTGTAACACAACTCGACTTGAGTAAAAGGAGGACTGACAACAGAACAAGAGTGCGAGCGAGAGTGTTAGTATAAGAGTGACATTCGCCTATTAAGGGTATTCCTGAGTGCTGTTTAAGATGAGATTTTGAAACCTGGAGTTTGTTCAACAAGCGGGGCAGACTTTGAAATGAATTCCATGTAAAGTCTTTCCAGCCACCAGTTCGTTTCGTCTTTTTTTAAAGTTTTGATTTACTTTAAAATACAGTTAATTTTTAACTGCAATAAGGAATAGCCTTCACGAGATATTCAAGGGCTGTTTATGATGATGACGACCAAATGACACAAGAATGTTAGGTATAGAGTACTTTTTGGCCGAAAGCAACCAACATGAAGGGATTGCAGTTTTATGCTGAAAAGTTTTAAAAACGTTGCATGTAATAAGCTTTACGAACATTTTGGAATTATAATCCTAACAATTTTCCAAATAGGATCAATTCAAGAAAAATACTAACAGCTTTGTATAAAAATCTTAAAGTAATGCTTGGAACAGTATATGTATACTGTATAGTATCGGATCATGATTTTCTCTTCTTTTTTTGTTGTTCGTCAGTAAATGTTATTTATTGCTAATTGAAAAATGTCAAACAAACTGCATAATCCGGCGTGCATACATAAATCAAAGTCTTGTCGGGCAAAAGCGTAACAAAAAACTGAAACTAAACAACTGCGAGTCAAAACAGACGCCGTTACTGACTGCAAAAATAATAAAAATACTAACAATAACAAAAGAGACAGTTGAGCTTATGTGTCCAGAGAGGGATCAGGCAAGGCAACTGAAACCTAGCAACGAATGAAAACGGGTGTTAATATTCTACAAAATACTACGAGAAAAAGGGTTACAAGCCAGCCAGCCACTACTACTAAAAAACAAACGAAAACGAGTGTATAAGCGTAGTACAAAACGCTGGTGAATGACATAATGGGCGTAGCCGTCGACAGGAAGGACAGACACACAGATGGGGGGTTTCTGGTCTGAAAGAGAAGAGGTGAGGTGTTTGTAGCTGAAAGTGGTTTATGGATTTTTCTATGCAGAAATAATGTACAGTGTGTGTGTGTGTGTGTGTGTGTGTGTGTATATGTGTTGAGCGATAAATGCAGGCAATGCACATAGTAAACATTGTAGTATGTCTATATATATATATGTTATGTTATATAGTATAGTGTGGAAGTGGGATAGAAATAGTGTAGCAGACGAAATGCTTGACCAACTTTACGCCCGCTATATGAACCTGGCCAAATGCTGATGATGATGACTAGGCCTAAACGAAAACAAACTGATGCGACAACGTTGACGACGACGACGACACCGACACCGACGAATGAAATCAGGTCGGCACGAAAGCGACGATTGCAGACATACATACATAATGGCACACATACATAAACAGCTATGCTGTTGCAGTTGACACAAAAGTGCGAAAAATGCAATGCTGCAGAAAAGTGCGACAGAGAGACGATAGAGACTGAGAGACAGAGGGACAGACTGTGAGACTAACAACTGACTGACTGACTGAGAGGCCCCACCGCCATTCACAGTTATATCTTGCACATATTCGCACACATGTAACGGTAAACATAATAACTGCAATATGTACTTAGGTATATAACAGTTACACACACACACACACACACACACACGTAGCCGTGTGTGGGCGCCGTCGTCGTTTTTGTTGCTGTTGTTGTCGACAGTGTGCCAAGTCGTCGTTTGTGATTTACTCGCTAGGCCGCAGCAAAACATTGAGGCAGGCGGCGGGTCATTGAACTTGGCGACTGGGGCCAGCGACAAAACGCTCTCACAACGCCCCATCGACTACCCGACATTTAACTCAAGTCTGCAGCTAAACTACTGTCTAACTTGCCTATGTTGAATTTGTAGAATCAACTCTTCATAGAATGCACTCAAATAATTTGGATATAGTTAAGCGTTTGTCACATTATATAATGTCCGAAAAAAATCGGTGTTTATAATTTTCGAAGACTGAAATATCCTACAAAAATGTTAGACTTTAAAGTATTCTTCAAATACTTTAACTATCAGTTTGTCAAAGTTCTACTGTATTTGGGATGTTGGTGCTGAAACGCATGCCGAGAATTGCAGTGAGAGTTAGAAGAAATGGAAGCAGCTATAACCGATATGGAAAAAGCATTCCTGCTGCTAAACTAACCTACATTAAAAAGCACAGGCTATAGAGTCGCCCTTTTTTCGGGCCTTCAGCCAATACGACTATAATCAAGCCGTTCGTCATCAGCAAACATCGTTCGTGGGCTACGCACTCCTGCCACCGTCCCTACGACAACAATCAGAAAAAATGGCGCAATACTTGTGCTGGAAACAGCAGCAGTTTTTCTTTTAGCTTTTGCCGCGAACGTCACCGCCCCAAAATATCGATTCACTTTCCAGTGCAAACAACAATGAACGGCAGCCCCCAGCAACCACCCAATCCTACTATACCCCAAGCCACTGAAAGCGCGCGCCAAAAGTGGCATGTGCCGCCAGCCTGCAGCTACAAAATCCTCAACACCATCAAACGCCACAATTTGATGAACAGTAAATATTACGATAGAAGAAATCTGAAAAGCATTCTATATAATTTATACAAACCACCACTGTATGTAGAAGCACTTAATAACTTGTACTAAATTAAGGCTTGTTTTGTAAAATAGTCAGTTTACGATGTGGGAACATCTAGCTGATTTAAGTCAAAATTTGTCAATTCCAAAAAAATATTTCGTTATTCAGTTTATAAACGGTTCAGTCGAATTCCTAAGGCTTTAACTAGTTATCTGTCTTCATATTTTCATTAGAAATTTCCAATATTTGTATATGTTAGTGTTAATAGCTAGCATTAATCAAGAATTGGAAACATCCTTTATTTCTTCAAATGCCCTCCTTGAAAGATACTATTTATTACTAGGGACCTGGCTGATTAGTTCACTGTAGTCTGGCATTTGGATGTCGACAACTTGGCGCACAGCAGACCCAAACCAAAACATTGAACTGCCCGTTGTCAGCCAACAGCTATCACCACCACTCCGTTTCTTCTTCGCCCTCTTCCTACTTGCCATACCTCCTGAGACAGCTGGTGGCGTCGTCACGCTGCTGGAAAGCTGCGCGCTCTCAGGTGGCGCTAGTGGGTGGTTGGGCTGTTTCTATTCTTCTTCTGTTCCATTCCCATTTTGTAGCCTGAGAAGCGTGTCGTCTGCATGGCGCCTGGTAGGCAGCTGTTGTGTCAGTGGAGGACAATTCCTAACTGGAAGTAGCCGATGGGTTCGGGGTTTTTGTCTATCAGAAATGGGCGTTCAGCTTTTGGTGGCTTTGCCACTTTTGGCGTCGGCGCACTGAGCGTTGTTGGCCCGGCAAAATGTTCTTTTTTCATATGGTATTTTAGCTCGATTACGACGAGCAGCAGATGCACAAAATACGCACACAACATCCTAGATACATACATATATAGAGATACACACAACGCATGCAAAGAGCGAGGTATATAGGAGTGATGCACTGGCAGTGGAGAGTACTAGGCCATTGGCATCATCATCACCAGAGTCGGAATCAGTGCGGGATTGCAGCATCCGTAATACATATGTATACGTATTAT